AGGATGAGCTCTATTTTAGAGCAGTGTGAGATGTTTGTTAGGCACCCAAGTGGAAATGCTGCGTTAGGGAGGAGTTGGACATCTGGTCTGGACTTCAAATATTGCTGTGGGAGTCAACACCGAATGGTCTTTATTTCCAGTGCACGCCTTGCTCTGACTGGGAAACACTTCCCTCTGATGGTTCTGCCTTTTCTTCCTGACCTTTCCTGTGATAATTTGGTCTTTACTTCCCACACCACCACCACTTCAGCCAAGCAAAGTTAAGGACCCAGAGGAGAGTCTAATGATTTGAAGGGGGGGGAGGGGGAGGGGGAGGGGGAGGGGAGGGGGGGAGGGGGGAGGGGGGGGGAGGGGGGAGGGGAGGGGAGGGGGAGGGGAGGGGGAGGAGGTTACCTTCCTACAATTAGTACTCATGCTGCCTCCATGAATCAGAAAGGAAGCCTCAAGGCAGGGGAGGAAACAGGCGTGGAGCAGAACCAGTGAGAGCTTTCCTGTTGAGTTCTAAGGATGGGGGGGTAGGTCGACAACCCCCCCAAGACCCCATGATGCCCTTACTTCCGGGTAGACCTATAGGAGATAGCAAGGCAGTAAAAAAGAGTGTGCTGTGTGTGGCGTGTCTAGCAGATAAGACCAGAACACCTCACTGAGTTCCCTGTGCCCCAGCACATTTGGAAAAACCAGAATGCTTACAGTGTTACCAGGGAGTGTCATGGGAGTGACTGGATTAACTAGAACGCTCTTGGACAGAAATAATAGGAAATGCAATTAAAACTGATTTAAATAATAAATGGATTTTGTAAGCTCAATATTAAAGGTCAGAGGTAGGAATGATTTGATCAGGCACTGGCTCCCTTCCTGGCTGTGCTTATGGGTGTTGTTGACTTTGTCCTCAGGCTGGCTTTTCTCCTAATAGCAAAATGACTATATCCTTTCCAGTCCTCACATCTGCCTAGTCAAAAAAGAAATTCTCTTTTCCTGACAGTGGAAAAATACTCCTGGGCTTTAGTTTTGGCCAACTTCGGTCACATGCTCACCCTAAAAAAACCACTGTGACTAAGAAAAGGCCATCAATGCAAGGGCAGGACAATGACTATTGCCAGCTGAGCCCCACCAGGGCAAGTGGTAGGGAAGGGCAGTGGCTTAAATCAATCCTGTCCCAATGGCCTGTGTGCCACACAGTGGAGGGGGAGAAAATGGATGCTGGAGTAGCAACCAGAAATGTCAACCACATAGCCAGATGGAACCAGGCTCCTAGAAGAGTTGTGTGGACAGGAGCGAAGGTCTGCTCAGAAGCAACTTTGTGAATAGTCAGCTAGGAACCATAAGGAATGAGGGCCATTTCAGCACACTTTCAGTCTGTTGATAACAACCAAGGACCAGATGCCCTGTCCATCTGATCCCTGACACCTTGATCATTTTTATCCTATAGAACTTAGAATTCTAGAGAAAGAGGGGTACCCAGCCAGATGCTGGTGACTCACACCTGTAATCCTACCTAGTCAGATAAGAAGATAAGGAGGATCATGGTTCAAAGCCAGCCTTGGTAAACAGTTTGAGAGACCCTGTCTTGAAAACACCCAACACAGAACAGGGTTGGTGGAGTGACTCAAGCAGTAGAGTGCCTGCCTAGCAAGTGTGAGGCCCTGAGTTCTGACCCCAAAACTACCAAAAAAATAAAAAAGAGGGGCATCCAGCAATTACTGAAAGTAGTAAGTCTTCATTACCCTTAGAATAGTGGGAACAAGAAATGAAGACATAGAAAATATTGTTGCATTTCTTACCCCTCAGTTTGTGGACTGAGATACATACCTTCTACATCAGTTAGCCTCTGACCTACACAGATAACTTCCAACAAGTTCATGGTCACATGCTGGGAGAAAAAAGCCCCTTCAAACATTTGTCTCTTTAAATTCTTCTTGCACTTTCAGGCTTAGCTTAAGTGACATTTTTCCAGCAGTGACTCCAGAACTAAGCTCTGTGAGATACTCTGAATTTAGATGCAGACCAAAGACAGCATCCACCATGGGAGTGGAAACTGAGGCCAACTTTGGAGCAGACTCACAACTATAAATAAAAGAATTCATTCAGTTATATGGGTTTAGTGAGTCCAGAAACTCACTAAGTAGATTTAGCAAAATTTCAAACTGCGAATTGCTATGAATTTCCATGGACTAAGTTAAACTGTGCAACAAAATCAAAGGCTTGAAATTTGGAAAGCCAACAAGCAAAACAAAGCAGGCTTTTATGTCCTGACATTTTTTTCTGTCAATTATAAAGCTCTTGTGTTGAAAGGAGACAGGGAGAAAGCAATGTATGCTGAGCCAGAAAGAACAGGAGGAAAGCAGTGAGTTTTCATTCCTTTAGAGTGAGAAATGAGCTTACACGCTGCGGGAAGAGAAGCAACATAAAACGAGGTGCGGTTAGTTCTTGTGGGAAGGGAAGGCCTTGTTTCTGAGATGATGTGTGTGCATGAGCTGAGGTGGAAGGGGGCAGTGGGCATATGGAGAAGTGTAGGAAGGGAAATCATATTTATTGGCTATCACGTTCCAGTGGCAGACACTACTGAGAGCTCTATCCCACTTAATCTATACAATTTTTACCCTAGGAGAGAGATACTTCTTTTATTTCCATTGTACATGTGAAGAAACTGTCAGAAAAATTGGGTCCAAGTACGCAGCTCTTGTTTACATTGTTTTTGGAACAAGTGTTAAGTAATGGCACAAGCTTCAAAACAACATTCTATGACCCCAAGTCCCTTCTCCTTATTTTGTCATTTCATACAGGTTCCTTAAATATTGGCATTATGAGAGTCAAAATATAAGAAAGCAAGAGTTAAGGAGCTCAGAAAATAAAAGGCATGTAATCCCAGAACTCTGAGGCTGAGGCAGGAAGATGGAGAGTTTGAGGTCAGCCTACAAAATGAGATCCTGACTCAGAGAGAGGGAGGGAGAGAACACTACACTAAAGAGCACACCTCGGTCCTTTAGTTTCTTTCCTCTGACAAGACAGAGATGCTTGGCTGGGGATGATTAAACAAACTACTCTCGGATACATTATTTGCCACTTTACTCATTTCTATTTTATTAACAGAAGTTCAGTATTTTTTAAATGTTTAAAAAATTATTTTTGTACAGGAGGTACATTGTGACATTTACCAAAGTTCTTACAATATATCAGAGTTGAATTCACCTCTCCATCATTCTCCTTTATTCTCCCTGCACCCATTCCTGGAAAAGTTTCAACAGGTCTCATTTTTCCACTTTCATACATGAGTACATATTTTCACCATATTTATCAGAAGCTTAACAATGTTGACTTTATCCAAAGAAAGCTTACATATAAGACACAAGAATATTTTCAGATTTATTTTTCTAAAGCACAGGACTGTGGCAGAGACTGATTTCAGATGCTAGCCAATTTAAATAGTGATCAATGTAATTTAAGAGGATAAAATAATCTGTTTGATGTTTTCCTGCTATTCCGTGTGTGTTTATTTTTAAAAGAACTTTCCCTGTATATTAAAATCTTCAATTTTCACAAGTTGACTCTATAGACCAATTTGGGAGAAACCGCCATCATTTCTTTTTTATTTTTGTGAAACGGAGTTTGACTCAGGGTCTTATTCTTATAGGCAGGCAGGTGCTCTACTACTTGACCAGAGCCACCATCTTACCAATATTGACTGACTCTTTCAATCAATGAACAGGGAATTGAACTGTTCATTCAATTCCCCTCATCTAAATGAGATGACTCATTTAGAGTCATCTTCAGTTTCCCTCAACTATGGTTTGAGATTTTCAGTGTACAAGTCTTGTACTTCTTTTGCTAAATGTATGTGAAAGTACAGTAGCCCAAGTGGGGTTTATGTTCCAAGCCCCCCAGTGGACACCTGAAAACTTGAATAATATTGAATCCCATATACACTATGTTTTTTCCTGCACCTACTGATCTATGACTTACAGAAAGCACTTTACAGCCAGCTTCTCTGTGGCAAATCTGAATTTCCAGCATCACCATTGTTGCACTTTGGGGATCAATAACCCAAAAGATTCAGAACGATTCTACTGACTATGATCTATGTGCCAATTATAAGGTAGAATGTATTTTCAAACCATGCACTTTTGGGCTGGAGCTCAAGTAGTAGAGCACCTGCCTAGCAAGTGCAAGTCCCTGAGTTCAAACCCCAGCACTGCCAAAAAATAAATTACACAATCTATGCACTTTTTATAACATTACACAAGTATTTTATTCACTTGATAATTCAGTTTGTGAAAGCTTGTGTGTTGTGTGTATGTGTGTGTGCATATGGTGCTGGGGATGGAAGCTAGGGCCTCTCATCCATACTAGGCTAGGGCTTTACCACTCATATACATCCCCATTTTTAAAATAATGTTGTAGTGCTGGGGATCAAACCCAGAGCCTTGATCCAGCCCCCACCTATTCACTTTTGTTTGTTTGCTTGTTTTGTGGTACCGGAGATGGAATCCAGGGCCTCAAGCATGCTTAGGCAAGTGCTCTACCACTTAAGCCGTGCCCCTTGCCCACTTTCTCATTTTTTAAAGATGTGTTTTGATCATTACTCATTTTATTTCATCATCACAAGTATAGGCTTGCTATGGTTTGGATATGGTTTGTTTCCCAAAGGTTTATGTGCTGGAAGGTTGGTACCCAACGTAACGATATTGGGGTGGTAGAGCCTTTACGCGTGTCTAGTGGGAGGTGATTAGAGTATGAGGGCCTGACACTTGGAAAGAATATTGCCAATCTCTCAAGAGTAGGCTGCTATAAAGTGTGGTTACTTCGTGTTCGTGTTCCCTTCCTCATGTCTTCCATGTTGTGATGCAGTCAGGCTGCCCTCGTCAGGACACTGGTACCATGCTGTTTAGAGCCCCAAAACACAGGACAAATAGGTCTCTTTACAATATCTTTGTGACTCAGATATTTGTGATAGCAACTCAAAATGGACTACAACAAGGCTCATAAACTCTTATAATCGTTCTGAAGCAAAGACTCAGTTTCAACTGAGGAATTTTAATATTTAGATCTCACTCTGAACAATGAACATTATAGACTTATCACCGTAGTCATCCTTTTTTTTCAAAACAAGTTTGAAAACATCATTTGCTTTTTTACAAGCTAGAAAGTGTCCTTCATACAATGAAGATTCAAATTGCATCTTATTGTGATGTCCTGGAACACTTCTCTGAAAGAATATGATGTCACTTTTTGTATCAGGAATGTCTTCAGGAAGAGGGATTTCCTATAAAGGAAAAAAAATTACCTAATTTTTAAGGGCATGAAAGGTTTGAATATATGCAGTTTATTTGGAGTATATTACTGAACAGAAACAAAGTAGTTTTTCTTCCCAAGAGTTAAGAAAAAAAATCTCTGAACAAAGGAATACTGATATCTTCTCCTTTATTTTTTTGGTGGGACTGGAGTTTGAACTCAGGACTTCACACTTGCAAAGCAGGTGCTCTACTGTTTTAGTCACACTTTCAGTCCATTTTTCTGTAGTTATTTTGCATTCAGGTGCTCGTGAACTGTTTGCCTGGGCTGGCCTCAAACTGTGATTCTCCTGATCTCAGTCTCCCAAGATGCTAGGATTGCAGGTGTGAGCCACTGGCTCCAGCAGTCTTCTCCTTCTTAATTCCCAATCTCCCATTCTCCATGTTTTCATCACAGAATGCCTCTCAATTCTCCCATCACGGATAGCTTCCTTCTCTCCTCCCCTACAGACAGGAGTCCACTTCTGCTCAAGAGGAAGTGGAGTTCTAGCAAAGACTGCCACCTCTTTGAGCTAATGTCAATTCCTGTCTTCTCCAACCATTTGTGGCTAAGCACATTGGTGACTTCTTCTATTAAACCTAGGTAGGTCTAGTTTCTGAGTCAACTACAAGAGTCAGAAAGTGCCAAGAAACTCAGCTCCTTCTTTAAGTGGACCCTGGAACTAAAGCATAGTATATTAGATTCAACAGTTGTTCTAGGGCTGGGTTCCTGTACAGCCCTGCTGGTACAGGCTCAGTCAGCAGCCCTTGACTCTGTTTCACTGTGAAACAGGCCAGTTCACAGTAGTCTTACATTTCAGTCCTGAATGAAGTCTACTTAGCTGGGCCCTGCCCCAAGAGAAGACTCCTGTAACTTGCAGTCAGAAGCTGGGGGCTGGTGAGGGGCAGTTACTTGAAACTATAACCCTGCTGCTCATCTAAGTGTTAGTAGTGTCTGTACTTTTCCTATCACTGCATCATGTCTACTTTTTTCAAGAGGGACTAGAAAGTGTGGGGACTGCCCAAGATTCTTCCATGCTAATTCTGGGACATTTTGGACTTAATTTTGACCCCGTGGTAACAAAGATCCCCCTGATCCTAAGGAGTGATAGAGAAACCTCTAGAATTAAATAGGATTTTATCTGCCTCCTAAGATGCACGAAAGACTCTGGAGGTATACTCTCAGTTTAACCAGTTATAGAATTGATGACTCTTTACCTTACCAACAGTGTGGGGTCTGAGTTGATGACAATATAAACCAGTACCCTCACTGGTGCCTCCTTCTGCAGCTGTCTACAGTAAACCACAACTTAGATATCTTAAGTTGCAGAAGTCAATCAGCCCAAGTTTATGTCTTAAGTAAGAAGTCACCCTTAGCTGAAATGTCAGAAGCTTTGGTAGTAAGACAGAGGGAAATGAACCTGTTAGATCCAACCTGGAATGGAAAGCTATAGTTGAAGATGGGAGTGTGGGAGAGGTGGAACAGGTGATCTTCCTAATTAACACTGAGTTGGTTCAGTGACACATTTCAGAACTGAGGTAAGAAAGTCCTGATATTGGCCACTGAGAGCCACTATAGGGAAGGTACAAAGCAAATGGATATGGAAAGGATCCTAGTAACCTTGGAGAACCCTCAACTTGGAAAGCCCTACCCAGTAAAACTTGAATGCCCCAAGAGCCAAGAATCCTTACTCGTGGACAAAAAACAGGAGCTGATATTGGTCCTAGCCTGCCTCTCCCTCTTTCCTAGCTCTTCCTCTCTTTTTCTCTTCCTTTCCTTTTTTCTTTCCATCCATTCAGTCAATTAATATTTACTGAGTTCCTTCCAGAAGTAGACTTATTATGAAGCTAATGAAGCTTCAAGGCCAGAACCAGTCACCTATAGAGGTTTCTTCTAGGCTCTCTTCAAAAAAAAATCCTAAACTGGTGGAATGGCTCAAGTGGTAGAGTACCTGCCTAGCAAGTGTGAGGCCTGAGTTCAAATCCTAGTACTGCCCCGCCTCAAATCTAAATAAATTGTAGAGTTTATACCTCTGGTAATTTTATATTCTCTTTCTTTAAAAGGGGAACCAAAACTGTGTAAGTTTCGGTCTCTCCTAAATGTGCCCCAACTGCTACTGTGTTCCAAGAGTATTTCACTGACACTTTTGTCACGGTCTCTTAACAAGAACCCACTTGTAGTTCAGGATACAAGTGGGATTAATCCCAGTTTCTGAATCGGCCTCTGCAGCTAAATTTGTTTTCTTTTATCTCACATACATTGAGCTTGGCCATCTCTTTTCTCACTGGTTCTGTGTTCAATAACATGCTTAATCCTTTCCACCCCCTACTCTTGCATCCTAGGCCTCCAATGCCATCATAATGACTAAGCTTGCAGCCTCTCGGGTTTGAAGGAAAGGGTGACGGGATTTGTCGGAGGCCGCATCTATTGCATACGCACTATTTTTACTTGAATCAAATTGTAGAGTGACTTTTTCTCCTTCCCAAGCTAAGGTCATATCCTAGCTTTCTTTCAATGGGGACTGGGTGGGGTGGGGAGTGGTGATTCTGAAGGAAGGTCTTCTCTGGCAAATCCCCACTCAGAAGGATCTTCTCTTTTCAAGCACTCTCAATTTGTGTGCATCCCCAGGCTGCTCTCATTGAGAGGAGTTTTCTGGGTCCATGTGTGGCTATAGTTAAGGGCTGTTTATCTAATAATAATGCAGAAAATAGAGAAAAATAATAGAGAATAATGATGGAGTATAATAGAGAAAAAAAGTAGTGGCCAAAAATAATTTATACTTGGCTTTAAGATAATTATAGCATTTTTTTAACAACTGCTCCTCTTAATTTTATTCATTTAGACTAACTTAGGAATAACATATATTAACTGAAAGCTGAAGGATGTAGCTAAGACTTAGGCTGAGAAGTAAGAATAAAACAATTAGGAATTAAAATGCTGTCATAATAATTTACAAAGAAGTAGATTCATCAGATAATTAGTTTCATTCTATGTAGCAGGACCTATTCTGGAAAGTCACATGCTAGTCTTAAATAAATTTATAACTCACTTGTATTTCCTATACTATTTTTTATATATAGATTGATTATTTAGAAGACCTAGCTAATGAAACAAGTGTGTTCCTTCTTCCCCATGACAGGTTCAGCAAAACCATAATATCACAATAGGCTACGAGTGACAATTTCCCATGACTATCCATTTCAATGGGTCTCTGTTTCTTCTCGCTCTTTTTTGCTCTAGATAAAAGGTTGGGCTGATATTTGGGTTTTCTGATTTTGTCCATTAATATGGTGAAAAACAAAGTAAAGCTAGTCTTACCTTAAAGGAAATAGTTGTGTCCTTACAGGAGAGAGTAGACATTTTATTACAGTTCACAGAGATGGTTACAGCCATACCTCTAGCGAGGCTATCTTTATACATATGTATTATTAATCTGGTCTGGGTTTCATTATCTAAAATAAACATTAATAAATAAGATCACTAGTTAGAAGAATTTTTTCAAATCAACATTTGTGGAATTTAACCAAAAGATACTCGGTCCTTAATAGACTGGCTGCCAATCCTGTCCTCTGAGATGTCACCAGACAGCAGGAGACTTTGAACAACCAGCTAGACACTTTAAAACACATTTAAACATGTGTTACGACACACATGTGGAAACTTTTTGAGTTTTTAAAGACATTATGCCTTTGAAAAGATTGGCTTTAGCTTTTGAATGGCAAATTGAATATCCATGTTAAGGTGAAAATATAGCATTGTTCAAGAATACACATTCCCTGTTTCAACCTGGCCTCAAAGTTTGATACTTAGAACTCATAGCTTAAGAGGCACTGTAAACTTATTCATTTCCTAAGGCACTCTAATTTTCTGGTGGGAGACAGATCCACTTGACATGTTCATGCATTTACATTTAATCTTGTCTTTTGAAAATGTTATCAGTATTTTTATCTATAACTAGCAGAGATTGAGGATTCAGCTCTGTGGAGATCTTATACAGTTAATGGAATTAAAACGAGAGACGAGGGTTCCAAAGGCAGAGTCAGAGCAACGTGATCTCCAGCAATGTCTTCATCACACTCGATTTTTCACTCTAATTGAAAAATACGGTTACTGTACAAAGCTTTTGTAAGTGAAATGATTACTTTTGTGACTTTTCATCAAAGGATTTGATACAGCATTGAAAAATGCAGGCAGCAAAATGAAATGGGAAGAAGTAGCTAGTTATCACTGTGTTTGCAAAGATATATAAAAAATACCTCTACAGTCAGAATCGGACATATCTTCAAACACAGGTGGTTTTCTGTGGTCAACGAAGAGAATTTGGTCATTCAGATTTCGTATGATTGCATACTTAGAGTCAAGCTTGCCAAAGTAATCCGATTCCAGGTCTTCTACGATACACATTAAGTCTCATTAAAAGAAAGTTTTTTTTTTCTAAATCAACAAATAGACACGTGATATATTTCAGTTTACAATAACTATTAACAATCACCAATTCCTGAAGCTACGATCAAGCCACCTGTTGATTTTCACCTACTTCCAAGCACACACTCAGTTTCTTGTTACTACTCAGAGCTACTCTACCTCTGAAATGTTCACTTGAAATATCCTACTATCTGATCAGTCTTCTGCCCTCTAAGTTTTCTTTTTTTTTTTTCCTCTACATGAAGGGCATTTGTTCAGAAGGCCACACATTTTGTGTTCCTCCTCACAATAACCACAGATTCCTTTTGGGTGTGTTATAAAACACAGGAGCCATTCTTCAGGCTCCCTGCTCTGAGCACACCCCCTTTTAGTTTTCTTATGCTCTTACTCCAACTACATATGTTCTTATACTTCCCTAAGCCCTCCAGTCTCCTGACTGCTGTATTTCCCCCTAGCTAATCTCTTCCTGGTTTCCCTTCCTCCTTTAGGCAGCCAGATCTTTTGGTTCATCATTTTATCTATCTTTTTGTTAGTAAGCCCCTGACTCAATTATTTTTCCACTACAAAACTCCAAACCTGGCTGCTAAGTGCTGTATGAGTGTTCAAATTGGTGCCATTACGGGAACACCAATTCCCAGTTCAGCAATGAACTTCCATAGAGCATAGCTGCAATTTCAAGTCTTCTTCCCTCTCCTCAGGACCTCCACACCATCACCTTCTACTTTCACTTTCAGCAAATTATTTCTTGCTATTTTGCCTACTTTCAGAATACATTGGCCCTTGGACGCCTGCTAGGCTTCTTCCCAAAGCATTCCTGAGAGATGAGGTTGAAGAAGGGACAGACTGATTTAGGACAATTGTCATGCCTCCATTTCCTTTTGCAATGCCCTCCTTTTGCTATGTCCTCCATGAATCCCTGCTAATCTTAGGGCCTATGAAATAGGCAAGGTCTATTTTGTAGCTTCTGAGAGCTAGCAAATTTCTAAGGTGTAGGGAAGCAGATTGTGTGAGGTTCTCCGTATCCATCCTTATAATCATCTTTGTTCCAGTGCTTTGCTGTTGAGTCCACATCGCTTTGGGAAGACTGACTTTCCAAATAGGCTGGTACCATATGGACAGCTTTGCCCAGTGGACATCAGGTGTGTCTCAAGCAGCTACTTACTTTGCAAAGAAAGAAAAATACATTTATACTTTACCATCACTTTCAGCTAAAGAGGAAAAAAAGAAACAAAATATGTTAAATTATATATCTCAGCTCACAACATTCTCCCGCCCTTCACACCCTACTCCTTTAATACTCTGTTCTGCCATTCCCTCTTCTTTAGCCCCTGTTTAATGGTGATGGCCTCTATTAGAAATATTATATAATAATCTAAAAAGGCCTATAAAATGAAGCTCATTAGACTTAGTGTGTTCTCAGGCAAATTAGATATAAAGCTTAAATCCAGGATTTATAAATTTCAATATATAGCTAAAAAGAACTTTGTTGCTTACCTGGAAACTCACTTTTTATGAAGTTTTCCAATGAAGCCAAATTGCCCATGGAAGATTAACCATAAGAACCAATTGTTCTTTGTCAAATATATTTACATAAAATGGTACAACTCACTTGCAGAGCTCTAGATTTAAGGGTATCTTTTATGATTTGTCAATTTGTTTTGGGAAATAGTATTTCCTCAATGTACCCACTTTTGTGGGATTTTCATAATGATTGTGGTCTACTGTTAATTCAAGTGCCAAGACACATGGTGGCACAAGGTGCTGGGACCTTGGAAATATTCTGGTTAATTTCTCATTTCTAGAGGTTCTTTTTTTTTCTTTTTCTAGAGAAGAGTCATTAATATTATGATGAAATTTGGCAACAAAAAGGAGTCACTTAATAGTTCACCTCACAATGTCTTTTCTAATTGAATACATTTATCTGAGCCTTGTATTTGTCCTGTGGCTTTAGACTCACCTATAAAGTACAGCGTATTGTCAATGAATTTCATCCCCACAAAATTGATGCAAGTGTCATCTGCAAGTGCAGCAGCCATCATTATTCCTAACAGAAGCAGAGTCATCTGTTAAGGGGCAGTGACTTCTCTTTTTGCAGAAGAGGAACCTTTTTTTACCAACTTGTACTACCTCCAAATGTGGAAGTGAGCTCATCACCCATATGGTGATGAAATATGCTGAATGTGTATTAAGAACCAAGAATACCAGCTTATGAATACGGGAAGCATTTTCTCATTATTAAGTGTAATTAAGAGTGGATAAATGGCTCACTATTGAACTGAACTATTGTCCTGGTATTCCTTGAAAATATGAACATATTGTCTGTATATATAACTGTGTCTGAGGATACCAGAAGCACATCTACTCCCAGTCCTTAGCTAGGGACTGGTTCCATCTCCATCTTCTAGCCAGTGGATTCCCATGGATGACAAGCTGAAGGTTCATGACTTCACGGTTCAAGTGTCAAAGGTAAGGCAGGGATAAAATGGTGCTTTCACCTGGGACCTGGGGCCGGGTAGGAGAAGGCTCAAAGGCTCTGACATGGCTGGCCCTTCTCTCTGAGCAGCAGTTGCTTGTGATCTGGAGTCTGGATTATGCTGTTTTTACTCAAGTAATATGGAAATATAATCTTGCTATAAAAGTAAAGTAATTCAGTATTTGAAAAAATTTAAATTCTTCTTTTTTGTTCTTTCCCTCTTTCTTATCCTATCTCATTTGTGTATGTGGTATATATCCTTTTAGAATTTTGGCACAGAGTAGAGGTCAATCTATGAGCTTGATTGGGAAAAATATGTGTTTATTTCCACCAACTCTAAATGAAATTCACCATTCCCCCATTATTAGTGTAGGAAACAAATCACAGAATTGTTAGTGGTACCTATGACCTTGTTACTAATAAAAGTAAATATTTCCTGTTGTGCTGTATTTATTACAGAGATCTTGAAACATGACTTAAACTCTTTCCTACTTTGAAACTACAGTGTTATTAGCCTCACTAGTAGATCTTATTTAATGTATACATAAAAACAACATACAAATTTGTGCTAATAAATTTGCTTGTTTGATAACTATATTCTAATAGAATATAGTTTATAAGTCCTTTATAATTCTAAAACATTATTCTGAGATGGGGATCTGTTAGCTTCAGCAGACTGCCCATGGAGGCCCATGCCACTGTTGGGACTCAGAAAACAACAAAGTATGGCTGGTCCTATTGACATGTGGAACCAAAGCAGCAGCCCCAAGATCATTCTGACCCGTTTCTCACCCCCGCCCCCACCATTCCAGATTTCTCTTTATCCCCCTTTTTCCCCTTAAGTTCTGGAAGGGGCTTATTTTATTTTATTTTTTTGAAGGTCCCTTATCTCCCTAAAGACTGAAAATGAGACACCATACGTGGAGCCCCAGGAACTTTGTTCCATGACACTGCCTGTCTTCTGGGCTCATTTTCTACCCTAAAAATAATTTGCCATCCCTCTAATTTACCTACAGTTCCTCCTTCCCTCTCCCCTCTGGGGAGGGTATTCAAAGTTTAACCATCTGGCTCTGTCTTTGGGTTTTCATATTTTGTGTGGCTGCCATGCTTATGCATGCTGATAAATCTGTGTGGCCTTTTCTCCTGTCGATGTGTCTAGTGCCATTTTATTTCAGTACCCTCAAACACTGAACCTTCAGAGGGAAACTTGAAGTTCCCTATACCATAAAAAAATAATCAGGAACCCCTACTCCAGAGTTCAGCAGTGCCTTGTGTCTCTGCGGAAACTTATGGTTGGGGCTCCAAGGAAGGTAGCTGAGTCACAGATGTCAATGGTTGCTAAGGTTTGTCGCCACCAAAACTCACATTGAGTCTCGGTCCCCAGTGTGGCAGTGTTGAGAATTGGGGCCTGGTGGGGGATGTGTGGGTAATGGATGGACTAATCCATACATGGATTAGTGCTTTTTCTCACATCAGTGAGTTCTTCAAGCAACACCATCTTTCATGTTTTGTCTCTCCCTCATGTGCCTGCTTGCTCTTCCCCTTTCCATCATGAGCTGAAGCAGTGTGAGGCCCACATAGGATCTTGAACTTTCCAGTCTGTGAGCCAAAAATAAATGTCTTTTCTTTTAAATTATCTAGTCTCATGTGTTCTGTTATAGCACAAAAAATAGAGTAAAACAATGGCATACAGGGAGTAAATCTGTGCTCATTGTAAAGTATTGATAAAGGAAGTACTGCTAAATCTATGCTCATAGTTAAAGAATGGACTCAATTTCTTTTTCTAGCATAATTTGAGGCCAAGTGTATATGGCAGAGGAAGCAGAAAACTAAAGTTTCGTTGAAAAATGTAACTAAAATTAAGTTAATCTAAAATTCTTGTTACTTAGTGGCTATTTAACAGTTTCTCTAGGTTTAGTTCCTTACATCCAAATATGAGTAGTTGCTGAATGTATTTTATATAAATAAAATTTTATTTTACTTAATTTTAAAAGGGGGTTTATTCCCTCCCTTCTTTTTTTGGAGATGCTGGGGTTTGAACTCAGGGCCTCATGCTTGCTACATAGGTGCTCTACCTCTTGAGCCACTCAACAAGCCCTTAAAAGGGGGTTTAAAGGAAATTGAAGGGAAACTAACATAGCAAAGGATTACAAGTTTGCTGAGTTAAGTCTAAAAATTTGTTTTCGTAAAAGCCAAACCAATTTTAAGATTAAAAGCCAGTTTGGATGTGGTGGTGCACACCTATAGTCTCAGCACTTGGGAGGGCAGAGGCAAAAGGACAGTAAGTTTGAGGCTAGTAAGAGCCTATCTCAAAAAAAAAAAAATCAGAACTGTAATATCGAGATTGTGAGCTCTGTGATGGCATTTTCTTTACTCATCTTTATGGCTTCATTGCTAACATGACACCTGTTATCAGTGTCAGAATTCATTTGCTAATGGCCACATTAACTGAGAAGGCAGACATTTATTAACCTGGGGCTCTATTTTGATTAGCTACCAGTTGGTGAAATAATTCCTAGGGTGCTCTTTTCTATTTCAATATTATGTAATGTACTCATTTATTGAAGTAATTCACCAAGCAATATAGGCAGGAATTGGATTAAATTACTAGTGTTCAGTACATTGAGTATTTAGTTAGGCAATTGGTAAATGTATTTAGATGTATTTAGAGAAGAGCTATTACCTGGGCCAGGTGTGGTGGCTCATGCTTGTAATCGCAGCTACTTGGGAGGCAGAGATTAGGAGGACTGGGCTTTGAGATAAAAAGTTAGTCAGACTCCATCTCAATCATTAAGCCAGGTGTGGCGGTTCTTGCCTGCAATTCCAGCTATGTAGGAGGCACAGTAGGAGGATCATGATCTGAGGCTGACTCTAGGCAAAAACTCGAGACCTTATTAGAAAAAAATAACTAAAGTAAAAAGGGCTGGGGATATGACTCAAATGGTAGAGTACCTGCCTAGCAAGTGCAAGGCAAACCCCAGTACTGCAAAAGGAAAAAAAAAATAATGCTACTAAAGAAAAATACTAGTTCATAACTCTTGAACTCACTCATCAATTAGTGAGCATACACGACACATCAGGTGTGAGGCTAGGACCTCATGAAACACAGGAATGAAACTTAGTTCCTGTCCTCCAGTGACTCAGAAGCTACTGGGAGAGACAAATCCAATTACAAATAATCAGTGAGCGCTGTAAGAGGCTGGATTTACAAGACGGCCTCCCTCGTGGTGCTAGGGAAGGTTTCTCAGAGGAAGTGATAACAGAATAGACAGTGTGGCCAAGAGAGGCAGCATTTTCAGGTCAGTGGCGAGTTTCCACAAAGCAGGAACAATGGCAATGAAGGCCGGGAAGCAGGGAGGCTGAGAGAACATGGGTTGTTTGAAGCCTCATCGTTTTTACCATCAGTAATGTAAAGGTGGCTGGGAATGGTGGTGCGTGTCTGTAACCCCAGCTACTTGGGAGACAGAAATTGGCAGGATTATGGTTCAAGGCCAGTCTGGGCAAAAAGTTAGAGAAATACCACCTCAATAAACAAGCTGGGCACACACCTGTAATACCAGCTATATAGCAGGTTTAGGTAGGAATATCTCCATCTGAGGATAACCCTGGGCAACAACTCAAGACCCTGTCTGAAAAATAACTAAAGCAAAAAGGTATTAGGGACATGACTCAAGTGATAGAGCACCTGCTTAGCAAAAGTGAGGCCCTGAGTTTGAAAGCCAGTATCACCACAAAAAAAGTAGTGTAAATATGGTCATGTTTTCCAAGAAGGACACATTAATGAAGATCTCATATAGTTCAAGATTATTTTGTCCTTGGGAATAAATGTAAAAGCATCAGTTAGCAAAGTGTATGCTTACTTGCCTTTCCTTCCTTCCTTCTTTCCTTCCTTCCTCCCTCCCTCTCTGCCTTCCTTCTTTTATTGTTGTGGTGGGCAGGGATACATGGTAGCATTTACCAAGGTTCTTACAATGTATCAAGTACATCATACTTGAATTCACCCTCTCCTTTGATTCCTGAACAGTTTCAACAGGTATCATTTCTCCATTTACATACATGTGTATACACACCTTCTCAGCATTAATGCTAACATTTGGTATAGTGTCTAGCCACACAATTTATCATGGCCATTCTCTGGTCTTTTAAATATTGTTTTATTGCATCTAAGTAACTTTTGTTCTGACTTACCTATTCACAGTTTTTTTAAGCACAAGCAGTAATAGTACCCTTAACACTTTGATAACTTTGTTTCAGCTATTAAAATATTTAAAGTTATTATGTTGAAAAATAGCACACTAATAACTTATGTATCTCAAGAACTTCTGAGATATTTAAACAGTTAAATTAGTAGGACACTGACATGGAAGCAGATTATTCTACTAGGTATCAGACACACTTCCTTGTGGCAATAGTGTTAACAGTTTATAACTCATTTGGTCTACCAACTTTGAAATTATGCTATTCTTGGTAAACTATTTAATTGGGAAGAATTTATATTATCTCCACTTGCCTTTAAAGTAAGACTGTTATTTTTATATTAGTTTGATTTTGACTAATTAAATTCACAGAAAATATAACTGCCTTCAGTGACAATTCACTGTTCCTTCAGTGACAATTTGGGAAGGGGAGACAGTTTATACAAGACTAATTTAAGCAGGCTGAAGAGGTTGAACATTTTTTTCTCCTGAAAAAAATGACATTTTTAAGTAGGAGAAAGACATGGTTAAACTTACGTTTAAAAAGTTTACTCTGGCTGCAGTGTGGAGAATGGATTCCATTGGGCAGGACAGAACAGAGGCCAGAAACAATTTCAGAAGCAATTTTACAGCTGAGAGTTCATGAGGCTATAAACTAAGGTAGTAGATTCAAGAGATCCTAACAGCTGAGTTTTTCAGCTGATTGGCTGTGAGTCCAAGTGTGAAGAGGAGGAACTGAGTTTCTGGCATTGGCAGTTTATTGAGTGGGTTACCCTATTAACTAAGAAAAGACAGAATGAAATAAACCACCTTGAGTAGAAAAAGAATTCAGCTTTTTTTTTTTTTTTTTGGTGCTACTGGGGTTTGAACTCAGGGCCTCACACTTGCTAGGCAGGGACTCTTAGCACTTGAGCCACTCTGCCAGCCCAAGAATTGATTCAGCTTTGCAAATCTGAGAGAGATGTGCTACAGAAGCAAGGGAGAATGAGTTTTAAGGAGAAGGTGCTTCAATGAGAAGCTGCAGATTCCATAATTTAGGCATGAATTTGACCATGATCTTCAAATTTGGCAGTTAGGAAGTTCTGGTACAGTGGAGGTGGCAGAAGACAGGTTGACAAAGAGCTAAGATAGAATCGGGGGGTAATAAGGGGAGTGATTACAAACTATTCTTTTAAGAAGCTTGGTTATACAGTGGAGAGTGAGGGTCATAGTTACTAGAGGATAGATAACCTGCAAATGTCAATTTCTTGGTCTAGATCCACAGTTTGAACCACAAGATATCTAATGAATTACCTCTCAAATCATGTCCAAGTAACTTTTTTAAAACCTGGGAGTCATTCTTGACTCTTTGGTCTAACTTTTTCCCTGATAAATACTAGGATCTGATGCAGAAATGTTTCAATTTGGTATTGCCTCTTCATTTCCATCAGCACTGTTTTAAGTCAAGTCCTTGTCACTGCTAGCATCTTCTATTTTAATACTTCTCTACTTGATTTTCTTGGTTTCAGGCTCTCTACTACGCCATATTGTTCCCAGGGTTATTCCCCCTGAGAGGCCAGAATTTCCTCTGCTTTTTTTCCCCCCACTAAGTCCTTATTCATCCCTTAAGTCTCAGCTGAAATATCTCCTCTAATAAAACTGCTCAGAACTCACTATTCATTCTTTCTGTAGTTGTCCTTCCACTCACCCCCTGCTCATGTTTCTGAAATAGCTCTTACTACACTGAATTAAGATTACTTTGATAACAGGTCTGCCTAGCTTCAACCCGAGTTTCTTTAGCCATTCTTCAATACCTGGAGAGCTTACTACATAGTGAGAGCTCAATAAATGTTAAATGAGTAAACATTTGCTGTAATAAACCTTGTTGCCAAGAAAACGGTGTGGAAAGGGACTAGTAGAATTTTTTTGTGTCTTAAGATGTTTTCTCCATCTAATAGCCAATGAGAAAGAGAAAAAAAATGAGGGAAATCTGAAACAGATTTAAAAAAAAAAGAACAATTTCTCTAATTTTTTTTCTAATAGCTTCTTTTTTCTTTGTTGTGTTTATTTTGAATTGTCTTCTTTTCTTACCACTTTAACAAGAGTTAGTTCTCAATACATCTATGATTAAAGTGTTATAATCTCTTCCCCTTGACTCCTGTCCCCAGTATTTCTCATCCTTGCTTCTTTGCTTTCTTGATTCTAATGTATGAAAATTATAGTTCTCAGCCTAGCTTGGTGGCTCACACTTGTCATTCCAACTACTTGGGGAGGAGATTGGGAGGATCTTGGCTTGATTCCAACCCAGGCAACAAGTTAGCCAGATCCCATCTCAATCACGACCATGCTCCTGGTGGTGCACTCCTGACATCCCAGTTACATTATAGGTCCAGGCTGGCCTGAGGCAAAAACTCGAGACCCAAAGATCCTTCCAAGATCTAAAATAGCACATATATGTTGAATATTATACAACCAGCATTGTTAGGTCACTAGGAGTTTAAAAACATAGTATAAATGCCTGAACTTAAAAAGCAACTATGATAATCTCTACCCTTTCTGTGGAATTCCAATTCTGTGTACTAGATATGGGGGGAAATGAGGGAACATGCTACACAATTAATCCCTAAAATCAGGTAAAATCATCTTGACAGCAAAAGATCAAAACCCAGCTTTCCAATTCTACAAATCATTTCTTCCTTCAAAATTCTGCCATCTTGTGAATATGTGAATGTGGATATGGAAGAGAAGTCTCAGGAAACTAGATAGTTAGTTGTAAAAGGTATATTTGATCAATTGTTAAATACAGACTTAAAGGAAAAAAGTCAAATGGAACTGATGCAGTTGAAAATCAGCATTAAATTTAATCTCAGAGAATGCTCAGTATATGAATAAATGGAGGACATAGTGAAGAACTGGTGGAGGGCTGGGGGCATAGCTCAAGTTGTAGAGCGCTTAGCAAGCTTGAGGCCCTGGGTTTGATCCTCAGTATCTCAAAAACAAAACAACACAAAACAAAAAACAACAAAAAGAAATTGGTAGATGGAAAACAGCATGCAAGGGGAGCATTTATGTGATAACCAAAGTGATGTGGGGGTAGGGGTAGACTGAATGGACCCATTTGACTGGAGTGGAACAGTTCTGCCATCCTGCAGTGAACACAAGATTACAGAGGGTTTTGAAAGTCATATAGAAAAGTCAGAATTATCTTATAAGTAATAAGAAAAACATTGCAGGTGAAAAAGATACTTTGAAAGAGGCCTTTATAGAATTTGAATAGCAGTATATAGGCAGAAAGTAAAGAGGAGCTTATGGATGTCCTAATTTTTTTTCTATTTGACTTCAAAACAAAGATAATTTAGTCAGCCCTTTCCTTATTGTGAAATAAAGTCCTCCTGGGAGTGCTATAAAATTATTCAAATGTAGCCCAGCCCAAGGGTGATGCTGCAGATTTTATTAAGATTACTAACCTTAGCCAGACACCAGTGGCTCACCCCTGTAATCCTGCCTTTACTAAGGAGGCAGAAATCCGGAGGATTGCATTTTGAAGCTAGCCCAGGCAAATAGTTCATGAGACCCTATCTTGAAAAACCCAACACAAAAAAGGATTGGTGGAGTGGCTCAAGGTGTAGGCTGAGTTCAAAATCCAGCACTGAAAAAAAAAAAAGATTATTAACTTTGTGCCAAATTTGTTTGCTTATTTTATAAATAATTCAGAGCCCAGACTTCCTTTAAAGAAAAGCAATGATTTTCAGGGGTTCACAAAGTCAAAGGTATTCTGTAGTAATTCTAGGATGTAGTTAGTCTTTTTCACTGGCATTCTCTCATGAGTATACATAAGAAAAGCAAGATTCTGTGTGACACTGCAATACAGTGAAGCCAAAGGAGATGAAAATCTCATTGTCTTCTATTAAGCCACACATTAAAAAGATTTAGAAAAGCCATTCTTCATACTAGATTTTTCCAGAATGTAGAGCTTTCTTTAATTAAAAATGTCATTTAAGATCTGGGGACATGGTTCAAATGGTAAGAGTGCTTGCTTGGAAAGTGCAAGGCACTGGGTTCAATCCCCCGTACTGCAAAAACAAAAACAAAAACTCATTTATGATGACATGTGATACATTTGTTTTAAGATAAATTATAGATAAAATTTTTTCTCAGCTTTACTTTCTAATACAGTGAATTATAGTAATGCAGTAAGTAGCCTGCAGAGACAAAAACTCCTCGGGGTCCCCATTTTTTTTTAAGAGAGTAAAAGGGAATGGGACCAGAAAGTTTCAGAATCTCTACCCTAAAGTGACAGACTCCCATATTTGACAAAAGACAGAAAAAGTTTCTGCTTGACTTTCATGTTTCTTCTGTTCTTACTGACTGCCAGTCTTAGTGATGTGAGAGGACTCAAATTTCTCTTAATAAGCCATGCCCAGATTTCCAAATAAAAAGGAGCATTTCTCACCTGTCTCAAATTGTTTCCTGCAAGAGGAAGTGATCTGGAAGGTTTGAGGTCCCTTTTCTTTCCCTGAGACTGTGGAGATAGTGGCAGCCTCTTCAGCAGAGAATGCAGAAAGCTCTGGAAACAGCTCCTTGCCACAGGTCTGGATCCAGCAGTCCTCTGAGAGGAGAGGACTGAGAGCTCCAGCAAGAATGAGGAAGAAGATACTGTGGGGGAGGAGACTGCCCTGGCACGCCTTGGACCCGCCTTTAAATGTTGGCTCTTTCCTAGGGCAGTAGGACTTGAAGTAAAATGTTATAAAACACAGGCATTTCTTTCAATGTAAAAAACACTATTTAATGAAATAATCTCTTCTGTAAAAAAAGTTGGGGTCTGGCCCTTCCAAAACCTGTACTTCTTTCAGAAGTCCATTAAGAAAGCAGTTTAAGAAAATGCACTTGCTGGTGGAGTGGCTCAAATGGTCAAACACCTGCTTAGCAAGCATGAGGCCCTGAATTCAATCTCAGAACCACCAAATAATAATAATAATAATAATAATAAATAAAGGACAACAAGAAAATGCACCTGCTCAGTCCATTAGAAGCGTCTACTTTTCTCACACTAGTTTCTCTGTTTTGAGGTATCTGGACACCCATCCAAAACACTTTTCTTATCTAATAGCAGTGAATCAGTCATCTTGGAGTAATGTCTGTAATATAATCATAGCAACTAAAATACTTTTTAAAAAGTAACCATTTTAAGAAGATTATTTCTCATAATATTTTCTTTCACATTATGATCTTTCTTTCACATGTTGACCCAAGTTCAACATAGTGTCAAACTCATTTAGGTGTCCCAAGCTCAATATGGTGTCAAATGTTAGTTGCTAGAGGTTATGTTAGAAACAGAAGTAGTTCACTTTTAGAAAACTTTTCTTATCTGCTATATCAGATGCAAACCACAACACATGCCATTAGAATTTTACTGAATAACTTTCCTATTTTCTTCAACAGAAAGTAAATTTTACTCTAACACAAGAGCAAATATTTACTTGTAATTTTTAGTGCTAAAATGTTCTAGTCTTGGAATGGTGGCAGTTCTGACCTAAATTATTTGAAACATGATGTACTTTTTAAGATATTATATTCAATTCTTTAAAAATATTCTAAAATGTAGCCCAAATGTAACTTTTGAAGAGTAGAGTGCAATTATTACAGCCTTAACAACAGAAAGAAAATTTCTTAGAGAATTTTTCTTTAACAGTGCTAAAATTGTATCACTCTCCCATGAAGGAAATTAGCAAGGTGGCGTTTTTTTTTTTCTAGGACAGAAATTACATGAAAACAGAGGGTTCTAAGTTAGGAAACAATGCTATGTACAAGTTAGTTTTTAAGGTTTTTATTTTTTTAAACAGAGTAGGGTTTTCATTTCCTAAAGTAATACAAACATCATGTCCATGCAGTGAATATAAAGGAAGTCTGTGGCAAGATCACTTGAGGTGCTTGGTGTGGTGGCTTACCAGAAGAGAAAAAAAACCCCAGCATTTTTAAGAACACGCTAAGAATACATATGTGATTGAATTTGGACAGCAAGTTTTCATCCTCCAACTGAAGTGTCCAGTTGTGCCAATTAACATGAAAGACTAAAGTAGGGTCAAAAAATCAGAAGCAGAGTACTAAAGAAGTTCTCAATTTAAATGACCCATTGCCAATGAGTTTTCTCCAGCTCTAATGCACAATAGTGTCTTTCTTTTCTGGGACATTTCCTGCCCGCCCTTGATACAGAGCGACCCAGTATTTCAGTGTCCTGTGTACTATACTTCAGAGTTGTTTTTGAAGGTTAAATGAGATCAAGATGACAGCACTTTGAAGACTTTAAAACACTGTAAAATCATAACCCTTCACATCCTCTCACTCTTACGCATTTAACTTATAAAATGAAGACAAAATTTAAAAAATTAAGCAAAATGTCATGGTATTCTTTTAATCTGATGAAAGTATTTATGTATTAACTGGAATAATTGTTTTCTTGGAAATATGTTAAGAATGAGATGGATAACCACCTGTTTAGATATAATACAATGTGAAGACTGGGAGAGGAACTAGGTATCTCCCAGACTTTTGGATTTAATGGGCCATTAAAAATAGCAGTGATAATGACAATAATGAAGAGGAAAGTCTGAGGATTGTAAGTTCCAAGCTGGTATGTGCAATCTAACAAGACCTTGCCAGAAAAGAGGAAGAGGGGGAAGGGGATGAAGGGAGAGAGGGCGAGGCATGGAGTGGACAACTTTTTATTTCACCAAGTAAGGCCATTAGAATATCAGAAAAAAATAAATCTTTACATTTTTATTTTATGAAAGTTGATACCAAAAAAAAAAAAGGGAACAGTGTTGTAAAAGAGAACAGTCCTTTAAAGTAAATACATCTAACTTTATGAAAAATTTATTAGCTTTTCCTTCATTTTATTAAATTTTCATTTTACTAAAATTTGAACAGACTATCCATCTTTAGTAACTGGGTCCCTTTGAAGATTGTTAACAACTTCATCAAATCATTTATCTAGCATTTAATAAGTGGCTTGTATTTCACAATATTAGCAAATCAATACTCACCCCCACCCCCCAGTGCTGGAGAGGGAGTCTTTCACCACCAAGGAGCTACCTCCCCAGCCACTTCCGAGTCTTGATGACAACATTAAATAAGCAAAGGACAAGAAATAAGGTATGTGTTGCGGTCCGCTCAGGTGTGAGGCTGTGCACCTGTTGACCGCGTCACCCGCGAAGCCGCCGGGGAAGGCGAAGCCACAGCAGATGGCGTCATGCCCACCACAAATGCCTTTCTGAAAGCCATTCGAATGAGGTGACCTAAACCCACCGACTCATCCGTAAAGGAATTTTTGTTTGTTTAAAAAGGCGTGATTCCGATAGTCTGCACGGAGGGCAAAAAGGGGCACGCGTGGAGGCTACAGATGTAGAAACCACGCTTTCCAGCCAGGGGAGCGCAGGTGTAAACCCTTCTGCAAACACACCTTACGCCACCGGCGCAGCCTTTTCTTGAAAACCGGTGGGTGTATTATTTACCGTGCCCGTCTGCTGAGATTCCACTCCACTGGGCCACGATCGGGGCTTCCTTTGGTTGCCCTTCCCTAGTTACCCCTCGCAGCTTCAGCCTGGCGGCTTCTTCACACACCGGAAGGGAAAAAGCTCTGTTTCGCGAAGATTCCAAGTCCTTCCGGTAACAGCACACGAGGCCTTCCCACGGAGTCTGCGCAGCAGCCCCGTCACGTGATGCGCGCGCTGCCTGCTGGGAGGCGTCCGCCTGCACCACCTCCCCCGGAGTCTGCGCACTCGCCGTCCTCGTTCCCGCGCTTCTGCTGACGAGGAAGGTCTGGACGGCGCTTAGCGGACTGGTCTTGGGTGGGAAGGAAGGGATGAGCATGTAGGAGTTGGGAGCGTGTGAAGGAAGGCAGTGAGAGCGTTTGGGGGCGACTCTTCAGGGTCTTCATTGGTGGGCGAGGGAAGTAGAGGTGATGCCATAAGGGGTGAGAGGCGAAATGGGCTGAGGAGCCAGAGTAGCTTCCAGAAGGAGTTAAGAAAATAGTTGCAGTGGGCGGAGAGAGGTTCTCCGTGACCACCTAGTCACCAGCGCCCGAGCGTGCACAGCCCAGATCACCTGCAGGGACAGGTGAGCGTGGGGTGAGGACCAGCCTGTTCACCACGCCTGGGTCAGGCTGCGGTGGCCAGTGGTGACAGGACAATGAATTCATTCTTTACAAAGGCAGAACGGCCTAATCAAAGAAGCGTTTGTTTAGTTCAGCTTCACCTTGGCTTACTTGGAGAAACAAGAGGTGGGTAAAGGAAAATTAAAAAGGGGGGAGGAAGTGGGCGCTGGTGGCACATCTGTAATCCTAGCTGCTCAGGAGGAGGGATCACAAGGATTGAGGTTCGAAGCCAGCTTGGGAGAATAGTTCCAGAGAGCCTATCTCGAAAATAACCTAAGACACACAAAAAAAGGGCTGGTGGAGTGGCTCAAGGTTAAGGCCCTGAGTTCAGCCTGGGTACTGCAAAAAAAAAAAAAAAAAAAAAAAAGAGTTAGAGGAGTGTTTTCTTGCCTGATGGCTTACTTGGAACGCTTTCCAACGCCAGAGGCCGGGCATGGGTGGGATGTGGACGCACTGTGTCTAATTTACTAAACGAAATTCCTTTAATACATTTTGGTTTTTGCTTTTGCTGTCATATATATGGATATTGTATAAGACCAATCAGATTCATTGCGGTTATAGAACTCAGTAGGGTTTTTTGTTTGTTTGTTTGTTTGTTTTGGTGATGCGGGGGTTTTAACTCAGGGCTTCTCACTTGGTAGGTTCTACCTCTTGGGCTTGGGCCCCAAACCCTAGCTCCAGCATAGTCCTTAAAATACATTATGTACATTGTTAATTTGAGGGTAAACAAGGCTTCTCATCTCTAAGATGTATAGACTCCTTTTAGGCTCCAACCCTGTTTAAGTTTAAACTTAAGGTTAAGAGACTCCTAGAAAAAAACTTTCAGAATTTATGGGAAAGCAGTTTGGTGCTCCATTAAGGGAAGGTAGGACAGTGGAAACAGTCTCATAATAGAAGACTGAGGAGATCTTGTTTCTTTCCCTCTTTTTTCTTTGGCAGTACTGGGGTTTCAGTTCAGCCCGGAGCTTCCTAGGCAGGTACTGTACCACTTAAGCCCCAGTCTTGATCAAACTTGGTTAGCCATTTCTGTTCCTGTTTCCTTATTAACTCATTTGTAACAAAAATGAGACTGAGATAAACTATAAAATCTATTTTAATATTAAGATTTTATGAGATATTTAAATCTTAAATGAGCCCGTCTTGAAAAATGCTAAAGAAATTAGTTTCGCTGAGTGCATATTGAGGAATAGTTGAGAATGGTGGAAGTGGTAGGTCGGCCCCAGATGATGGAGGACCTTGGGTGCCTTATTATGGAATTTGAACTTAACCTTACCTGAAAGTTTTTTTTTTTTTTTCCTGGTAGTACTACCAAGGATGAACTCCTTGCTTCATGCTTGCTAGGCAGGCACTCTACTTGAGCCATTCTGCCAGCTCCCTGAAAATTTTTTGAGTGAAGGAAATGCAATAATCAAAGTTTTGGAAGATGAATTCAGAGAAGGTAGAAATTAAATTGAGATAAGTGACAGATCATGAGAACCTAAATTAATAGCAGTGGTAGGAGATGGAAAAGAATCCGGGGGACCTGTAGCATGGAGTTTGTATCTAAATTTGGCATTGCTCTAAATCTTACAGTTTGTGCCTCCAGATTATGATGGCAAATCACCTTGTAAAACTGATTCTAGAAACTCCAAGAGACCAAGAGAATTGGAGGTAAGCTTTATGCCTCTGGAATCTTAATCTTTTGTCTATTTTACTTATTTCTCAAATTTCTTCCTTTAAGAAAGTGATATTGATAAGTGAAGTTTAATGTTTTTATAGTCCCAGAGCTAGGATTGTCCCAGAAGGAACTATGTTGATTGCAGTTGCTTTTTCACTAAGTATACCTCTCCTTGAAACTATTGGGAAATTTCTTTTTGGTGGTTTGTGATCTAGAAATGTAACAGAAGTGAGTCCATGCCTTTATGATATATACAACTTTACATAATTATTTTACTAGGATAAATAAAATACCTAGGTACTTGCAGTTATTGATATTTTAAAAGAAAAACATTGTATCTAGTCTTTTCAGTACTGCCCCCACCAATTAATCTGTTCCATTGGGGATATTATTTGCTTCCTTGAAGATGATATTTCAAAATTTTGCAAGCATTTTATTTGACTGTTGTCCAAATTAGAATTGCTGTATTACTCTGAAAATATCCACTAGTTCAAGATACAAGAACAATCAGGGGATTAAAACCATTTTCAAAATATAATTTAAAACCAAAATAAAATTTAGTATGTTGAGCAAGGTGCTTCTTGGATCTAAAAGTTTCCTTGTTAATAAAATTTTAAATGAATAGTATGTAACTTCTAGAATGTTTGCTTTTTTCCTGAAAAACATTGGATTTGCTTTTCTCTGTTTTCTTCATTACTAGGGTTTGAACTCAGGGCCTAGTGCTTGCTAAGTAGGTGCTGTATGGCTTGAGCTATACCTCCAGCCCATTTTGCTCTGGTTAATTTTGAAATAGGGTGTTGCTTTTTGCCCACGTTAGCCTGGACAACAGTGCTCCTATTTTTACTTCCCGCTTTAGATTTGCTTTCTTTTCTTTCTTTTTTTTTTTTTTCAACACTGGGGTTTGAACTCAGGGCCTCATGCTTGCAAGGCAGGTGCTCTTACCACTTGAGCCACTCTACCAACCCTGGATTTTCTTTCTTAATACCCAGAATGCATGTGTCTTAAAGATCTTTTCATTGACCATATGCCTATTTTCTTTACTTTCGTTAGTCTCAATCTCAAATGCAAGATCATCCAGAGATGTCCTCTCTTGGAAAATCAGATTCATCTTTCTCTGAATGTTCTGGACTATTTTATAAAGATGAATCCCTGGAGAAAGATTTAAGTGGTGATGTATAAAATGTTTTTATTTCTAGATATTGTTTATATCATGCAGAAGGCTTGTTACATTTTGTAACTTAGTGATTTTTTTTCTTTAAACAGACATGAGCAAGGAAATTAATCTAATGTTGTCTACATATGCAAAGATCTTAAGGCAAGTACTTAGATTCTCTTGGGTTGGAAATAGTTTTCTTCTGGAAACTCTGTAATGGGAATTTTAATTCCATGGCCGAAAAATCTATCGAGTAATCTATCTCAATTTTTGTTTTGTAGTAATGAGGGTTGAACTCAGGGCCTTGCACTTGCTAGGCAGGTGTTCTACTACTAGAGATAGAGCCAGGCTACCAGCCTATCTCAATTGTTTGTAATAGATTATTTGATTGTTTTCAGGGAATAACCCAACTTTTCCATTAAACATTGTTTGTTTTGGTGTTGCCAGAGCTAACACCAAACTGGATATATCTTGGTCTCTAATTAGATATTACATTTTTAATTTTATATAAATACCTCTTTGAGTAAAGTATTATTTGATGAGCATAATGATAATAATAGAGGTAATAGTAAAGACAAATACTAATTTCATGTGTTTTTATTTTATTGGTATACAATTGAAGGCTGAATTTAAATATTTTATTGTCCTGAGATTATAATGTATCATAAAGAGTTTTAAAAAAAGTACCAAACAGCCATTATACAAGTATGATTTATATGGCTGTAAACATAACTTACACAATTTAATATTAACACTGTAATGCATAAGATACACTTTCTGCTGTCAGGAGATTTTTGAGTGGCTAAAAAATAATTGTGGGATTAATTTAACTTTCTCCTGAAGAGTATTAGTAAATTAATGAAGTACTGTCATGTACAAGGCCATTTAAATGAAATAGCTAAAAATATAATAAAGAAAAATTGCCATGAGGCTATATTTAGACTTTATAACTACTTATTTAATGTAATGCTTTTTTCCCCATTAGTGAGAGAGCAGCAGTTGACGCATCTTACGTTGAAGAGATAGATGGACTCTTTAGAGAAGCCAACACTATTGAAAACTTCCTAATACAAAAAAGAGAGTTCCTGAGACAGAGATTTACAGTGATTGCAAACACACTGCAGAGTTAAAATGTATACTTAAAATAAGCTGAGAATTTAAACCTATTATTGTTGTAATGAAAGAATGACCTTTCTGCTCTGAAAGCTCTCTAGTTGTTAAAGTAAATGTGTATCTTAAACTAAGAAGGGGTAATACCTTGAATATTATCTAGATTTAAAAGATGCTTTATATGGACACTAATATGAAGTATTTAACTTTTTTTTTGTGTCAAATATTTGGCACATTTTATAAAAATTTAAAAATTTTAAATCATTTCTTTCTCTTTCCCTTAAGCTTCATAGCTTTTCTTTAACTTCTAAAAGAGGACTCAGTTTGATATTGTAATTTTTTCTTTTAGAATATTTTGTTTAAATAACAGATAGTGTTGGATATAGTTTAAAAGTGTTTCTTGGTCAGTATTATAAAAGAACATTAAAATGTTAAAAGTAATTAATCTGGCTCCTCATATGTAATAAAGTATAACTGTGCTATTGCTATTTAATATTAGCATTTGGTTATTTTTACTATTATATGTGACTAATAAAACTTGGTTTAAAATTACTGTGGTACAAGTGGTAAAGTAAAAATTAAAAATTACTAACTAGAACCTTGTATGAAGCTTTTTTTTTTGCCTGTCCTGGGGTTAAACTCAGTGCATCATGCTGGCTAGGCAGGCGTTCTATCATTTGAGCCATACAGCCAGTCCTTTTGCTCTGGTTATTTTTGAGAAGGGTCTTGCTTTTGCCCAGGCTGGCCCAGACCAGGGTCCTCCTACTTAACATCTCCTGCACAGCTGGAAGGACAGACACATACCACCATATCAAGTCTAGCTTTTCTTTTTTTGAGTTAGGGTCTGGTCATCCTTGAACTCAGGATACATCTGCATCACCTTCTCAAGTGCTAGGATTACAGTTGTGCATCACCACACCTGGCTGTATTAGTGGCTTTCTTTTTTATTTATTTATTTTTATTTATTCATATGTGCATACATTGTTGGGGCCATTTCTCCCCACTGCCCTTCACCCATTAGTGGCTTTCAACATATCAATCATGTCAGTGTGTGCAGTTAATGAGTTCTGTTTAGAAGCCTTAGCAGCAGTGTAGTATGGGTTAGAGATTAGTGATACAGAAGTAAGGAGCTCTACTTAAACAAGATGACTTTGGCAAGTCACTTCAGTGCTGTTAAAATTTGAAAATGAATTTGGTCTAGAAAAAAATCCTTTGATACAAGTAAAGTACTGCTTTGATTTTATTCAAAATGATCTATATGCTATATAACTGCATGGGATAACTATATTAACCAAATTATACAGATCATTCAGTCTTTTTTTGTGGTACTGGGGTTTGAATTTCAGGGTCTTGTGTTGCTAGGCAGGTGCTCTACCACTCGAGTCATGCCTTCAGCCTGATAATCAGTCTTTCACATGTAGTTTTTTTTTCCCAAAATGAGCAATCACAAATTTGGGTACATTTGCAAATAGTACCACAGAGAATTGGTATTTTAAAGAGAAACAGCATGTTTGCTGCCTTTGAACTAAAAAAAAAAATCTCAGTTCATCAAATGACTTTTACATTTATTTTTATAGGACTGGGGTTTGAACTCACAACTTCATGCTTGTGAAGCAGGTACTCTACCGCTTGAGACCTCCAGTCCGTTTTTTGCTCTGGTTATTTTGGAGATGGGGGTCTTATGAACCCTGGGGCTTGCCTGGGACTGTGATCTTCCACGTCTCAACCTTCCAAGTAGCTGGGGTTACAGATGTGAGCCACAGGTGCCCAGCATCAAATGACTATTTTAAGTCATAAATATCACACTATATCTGTACCAATATGAGAAAGATTGAGAAAAGTAAAGTAATATTTACTTTAAAAATTGGTTAAGTGGAAAAATTATTGGGTGGGTAGAAATATACACTGATGGGTCAGGATTGGCTAGAAGTCAACAAAGCAATTATTAGAAATGGAATTAGTAAAAGTTCTGAGTCATTTTGCTTGAAAAAAAACCAAGTTTTTAAATGTTTGAAATACAAAGATGACTCTATTGACTGTTTATCATTAAGAAGTGTTCTTGAGTTATTTTGTCTAAGCATTTATTAGTTTTTTTGAGCCCAGGCTGGCCTGGCATTCAAATTCTCCTGCCTTATCCTTCTGAGTGCTGGAATTATAGGTATGAATCATCATGCCTGACAGAATTTATTACTAGTATGAAAAATAAGACAGATTATTTCAAACTGGATTTCACAGTACACTTGTAATATCCTAATGGTATCAACATTGTTTCATATCTGATTCTTCCCTTTGCAGGGTCAAAAATTGATTCAATCATTTGATTTGGTATAATTAACATTTAGGAACTGATTTTTAAGTTACAATGTACTTACTATTCAGAACAATCACCTTCTAGTATAAAAGTGCCTGAAAGCCTAATTAATTTTTTAAAATCATGTTTTGATGACTTAGGTTCCATCCACATAAACAAGAATAATCTCACAATATCCTGTTGCAGGGAATACTGTTGCCTTTTAATTTTTTAGTTGTAATGTCACTTTTTTATCCTCTCAGAAAAAATTTACAAGTTTATAAATTATTTTTACTGACAACTAACAAAACAGAATATTGAAGCATCTTTGTGCATCATACTCTGAACTATGGCATAGTTCAATAGACTGCTTTCTGATGCTTTTTACTAATCCTTTCTTGAAATAAACTTAAGGCTTTGCTAGGAAAATGTGATTCGTAAATGTTAAAAGCATCTTGTTGGCAGTGCTGTGGGAGTTACTAGAAGGCTTTTGGTAAGGGGCTCAGAGGAAGATTTTGAATTGGATTTCAGAGAAGGAAAGAAGATATTTCAGGCAGAGAAAGTATGTTTAAAGGTACAGAAGAGCAAAGGCATCTCATGAATTGTTGAGAATTCACAAAAAAATTCATCTAAATTGCTGGAAAGTAGGGACCAAATCTCCATTCCTGGTATTTAGCACAGTGTGTGATACATTAGTTCTCAGAAAATGTTGAAATAATAAAATCATATATGGTTGTATGTTTTTTAAAGGTATACCTTCACAGAGTCTTATACTATATTGTCAGAAAATGTTTGCAAAATTAATAGATAAGGAAGGATGAAATAATACAAAGGCAAGGGATAAAAGTTAAGCTGTTGCCTGATAAGGAATCCTTTATTGGCAATCTAAATTTGTATTTTATTCTGAATCTTTCAGAGTAGAGGAGTGGCACAATGAATTTTCCCCCCATGAATCCAGATCAAATGACTTAATTTGATATGACAGAGTAGAGAAAGCAAAGTTTAGGAAGGAAGTCCACTATTAGTGGTCTAATTTTATTATTTGAAAACTAAAGATTATTTATAGATTGTTTGATGCTTGACTAGAAATAAGAGTTAAAGAGATTACTGGTGTTTTGAAGCTCCGCCCCTTTCCTCCTCTCCCCATCCTCTTGTGTCACTGAGCCAGGGACAACCCAGGAAGTTCTGTGAATGTTTAATGCTTACTGACACCTAACTGCCGGTTATGTGAGGATTTGGAAGTCAGGATCTGCCGTTTACTGAACTGAATTCTAAAATGTTTTCTCGAATCTTTCTCCGTTTTGTCAGCAATGTTTCTACCACTGCTGTGGGTTTTCTTTCCGTGATAGTGCACCGGCTCCCAGGTAGGGGATTTGCCCCTGCCCTTTCCTTTTCCTCGCCCTCCTCTTCCTACCATTTTGCACTTGGACTTCTGTGCCTGTTTCCTGAAGTTTTCTGAGAACTTGTGAAACTTTTGCCTCTGCATGGAGCAGATAGGGGCAGCAATTCTGCCCAATCAGAAGTGAAAGAAGACTTAAGTCAGTATTTGTTTGCCTATTGTTAGGGAAACAGCTTTTCACATTGGCACATTTTATGAAACATAGGGGCAGTATTCAGGATTTAGGAATTTGTTTTTTGGATGTGGAATAGGAAAGTTACTCACTATTCAGATTTTTCTAAACTGAAAAATCACTGTCATATGTTCTAATGTGTTTGGTTCTTCTAATGGCATTCTGGGAAACTACCATAAAAACCTATTTTTTTTGTTGTTGTTGTTTTGTAGCTTTCTATTACAGGTACCATTTCATGATTTTATTTCTTGAAATTGACTGATATAGTACTGTCAGAAGTCTGATAGGCACTATAATTGCAAAATTATTTAATTCAGTAATATAGTACTTGCAATATGTAAGACAATGTGTTAGGTGCTAAAGGGAGAGGAGAGACAAAAATTAGACCTTGTACTCAGCTAGTAAGTACCTTGTACTTGGAGTAGATGTTGTAAAATATATGCATCTTTATCATACAAGGCAGAATAAGATAAGGGCCACAGAGAACTATAAACAGCTGCAGTGGGAGTTCAGACCAAGAAGAATCAGTTCTTGCTGTAGGAAATGGGAATGCGGTGCTTATGAAGCAGGTAACATGGCAATACATGAAGTTCATCTGAAGAAGATGGAAAATAGCCTAGGCGAAGAGAATAGTATGATCGTGATGAGGAGAAGAGAATGGGAGTGGTCCAGTTAGGCCTTAGTGAAAAGCGTTCATGAGAGCCAGAACTGGACAGGAAGGCTGGGGTGAGAGTATACAATGTCTTTTAGTCATTTTAGACTGCACTTGGTAGACAATGTGTGTGAAGGTTTTATGGAGGAATGTGTTTTGCAATCAGATTTATTCTTAGGAAAGTTAATTTAGTCACTGTGCTTCTCTACCTTTTTTTCATATCATAGCACAGGTAGAATATAATGCTTTTAGTTTGCATTGGGCTAAATTGGGTGGGATCTGGAGCCCTGATGACCTACTTAGAGCTGAAGGAAATTGACCTAGGGCCTCTGGCCATCCCAAGAGCCAAGGAAAGCAAGTGTCACTAATTAGGAAACTCCGGTATAGAAGATAGTTTGACCCCCTATCTAGTTTCTCCTTCTAATTAGGCTGTTTTAATATCCAGTTAAAAGGTGAGGTCTTGAATTAGGACAGTAGAAAGGAAGTGACAGATAGGAGAGAGAAGTTGAGGCATCAATACTAATGAGGACAGGATGAGGGAGGAAATGGTGAAAATAAAGGCTGTTGTCAAGTACCCTTCCAGACTTTTGAGCCCTAGTTATTTTATGCTGACTACCTGATGTTGTCTCCTTGGTACCCTCTTGCTGGCCCTGTGTGGGTATGGCAGCAGAACCTAATCACTTAGTGACTAGGAGGGGCATTGCAGAAGATGAATTAAAGGGCCACAGAGATCTTGAAGCCAGGCAATTTAGTTGATTTGGAAAAGGGAAAATGAAGGATTCTATGTTGACATGTTGAGAGTCCCCACCAAGAAGGACCCGGTGAATTTAAGAAACTAGATGAGATTACCAGAGGTGAATGCAAGATGAAAGAGTAAAGGTCCAAGGTCATACCTTAGGGACATTTATGTGGTGATAAGGGGAAAAGAGCCAGTAAAAGGAATTAACATTTGGAAAGTATCATTGTATTTAATTATGGCGATAGATATAAACAGGAAATATTAACTTCTCTTATCCTCATTTTATCATTGAGAAACGAGAGGTTAAGGGAATTCGCCCAACCTTGTCAGCTAATAAGTAATGAAGCTGGCATAAAGCAGGGTAATCAGAGAGAGGCAGAAAAGTTTGAGTGGTGCAATGTCTCAGAAGCCAAGAACAGAAAGGGGTTGAAGGCGATGCTGACAGCAATATCAAGTACTAAAGAAAGTTTGAAGAACTTATGGCTGCCAACAATGTGCAGTATAGAACTATAGACACTGAAGATTTTCTAAAATGTAAATGCTTAAAATCTATGTGTGACTCCTCAGGCAGATGCCCAGTCAGGCTGCTCGATTTAATTCTATCTCAGTAAGTAAGATGACTAAAATCCCTAGCTTCGGGGAATTTATTTTAATCTAAAAAGAGAGTAAGATAAATATGCATATGTTAATAAAAAATAGAGTAAGATAATTACCTAAGGGTTTCCTTCCCTGTGTTTCCAAAGCATCCTCTTAATACCTCTAACAGTGTGGTCCCCATTCCACTATGCCTAAGAATACCTGCTTGCCTTGCCTCAGAGATTCTGATTTTTTTGTTCTAGAGTGGAGTCCAGGAATTCATTTTTTAGCAACAATGCCAGGTAGTAACACAGGTTGTATTTCTGTTGCAAATAGTCCTCAGACCAGAGTTGGAGAAACAAAACGTAATCAATGATCTGTTTTTTTTTTTAACCAGTCGTCTAGTTCCTTTATGCCAAGGGTCTAATGCTTCTCATCCCTCAGCAAGTTGTCTAAAGAATAAAAAATTCAAAGAAAGAAGCTGTTAATGGATTGGCCTTTAAGATCTGCATAAAAAATAATAATTAACATTTTGGGGTATTTATTGTGTTCTAAACTAAGTCATTTATTATTTATAGCCTTAGGCATGAAAAGAATTATTATTTCTTTACACTGGTGGAGTGGCTCAAGTGGTAGAGTGCCTGCCTCACAAGTGTGAGGCCCTGAACTCAAACTGCAGTACTGCAAAAAAAAAAAAATAATAATTATTAGGAAGGAAGAAATCGCTCAGAGAGGTTGAGTTGTTTTTGGGAAGTGACCAAGAAAGGCAGAAACATTTGAGATAGACCTTGAACAATAGATAGAATTTTCTTTTTTTTTTTTCCTTTGAGATGGCTAACCTTAAACTCATATTCCGTGTACTTGGCAATGCTAGGGTTTGAACTCAGGGCCTTGCACTTGCTAAGCAGGCATTCTACCACTTGAGCCATGCCCCCCAGTCCTTTTTGCTTTGGTTAGTTTCTGGACAGGGTCTCACTTTTATGCTCAGGCTGGCCTGGACTGCAATCCTATTTATACTTCCTGTGTAGCTGGGATGACAGGCACAAGGCACCATTCCAGCTTTTTTGAGATGGGGGTCTTGAACTTTTTGCCTGAGTTGGCTTCAAATAGAAATCCTTCAGATCTCCACCTCCTGAGTAGGTAGGATTACAGGTGTAAGCCACCACACCTGGCTCTGGCTTTTCTTTTTTCTCCCAGTGTTGGGAATCAAACCCAGAACATTGTGGATGCTAGGCAAGCACTCAACCATTGAGCTATACCTCCAACTAGAATTTTCTTAGGGAGAGGTTTGGGGAAGGTTTGGTGAAAGTGAATTTTATTTGGGGAGTCAGGACATAGCTGAGCTTGGCTAAACTGTTACATGTAGAAAAGTAAAAGGTCTCACGTGCTCCAAACTGAAAGCTTTGAATGAAATTGGATCACAATATATAAAATAATTTGACAGAAGAATGAAACTACCACTTCTTCCAGGAAATAGTAATCCGTTTATGTTAGTTCATTTTTAAAATCTAGATTTATGACTAATCTAGACTTATGACTAGATTAATTTTTTATTTTATTTATTTTTTTGCGGTCCTGGGGTTTGAACTCAGGGCTTTGTGCTTGCTAGGCATGTGCTCTACTACTTAAGCCATGCCTCTAAGCCCTCACTGTTAAATTTTTATGAAATAAAGGATTGTACTTCAAGTACCCATTTAATTATATGTTTTCCCATCCCTCTGCGTTAGGTAATATTGCCTTGTGAACACTCAGTAAATATGAGACAACAGAGAAAAATTTCAACTTGTGGTATATAGTAATGATTTTTAGTTTTGGGAGCTTTTGGACTTCAGGTAATTTCATTGCATAAGTTAATTTATAATATCCTTGTAGAAAATGCTATGTACTTTCATGTGCATGCCATTAAAATACAAGGATTAAATTGAACACCTTATTAAATATACCAAAATCACCATGAAATCTTTGAGATCACTTTCTGGTGTATCTAGAGTACTGGGTTCAATGTAATTGTGATAATATTGAATGGCGGTCATTGTTTCCTTCTCACAGTGAAGCTGCTATTAGCACATTAGCGTTAGCATGTGGAGTTATTCTTCTAAAAACACCAGCATTGTTCAACTTGAAAATGATAATAATAGTAATTAAAGTCCTGAGTTAATTCTGAGGCAGATTAATACTGCAGAAATACAAGACTTGCTATGGTTCAGAAATGGAGAACCACTTGGTGGTAGGCTCACGTTTCATGCAATGTGCCAGTTTATCTATCATTTGTGGAGATATGGACATGTTTATAGGCGATCTGATAACATTGTTTTGTGCCTTTGGCTTCCTTTTCAGTTTTGAAGAGATACATGGGAAATACTCACCAGGAAAAAGCAATCATGGGGCAGAGGCATAATCTGCCGTGCATTGCGCCACTTGTGAGCACAGTGGAGGAGACACCCCAGATCACCTCTGCCCGAGTCCAAGGGCACATTCCTGAGTGGCTCAATGGCTACCTGCTTCGAGTTGGACCTGGGAAGTTCGAGTTTGGGAAGGATAAGTAAGCTTAGATTTTGGAGAATGACTGGGATTTCTTGACATGGGCTGATTTGGTGGAATACATGTTAATATCTGTTTCCTTCTGAGGTGGCCATTCAAGTCCTTGGATTACAGATAGGAAAACCAGAGCCTAGAGGGGAAAAAAAGGAGACTTAATTTTTTTTCTCACCTCTATACAAAGGAGAGACTTGATTATTTTTTAAAAGTCTTGACTTTTCTGCTCTGAAGTTTGTAAGTTTGAAGCTCTCCATGGGTTTATGCCAACAGAACAGAGGTATCAGGAGCTCTCTGTGTGACTGCCCAGCTGTTTCACCACAAGTTCCTGAAGGAAGAGCACTGTCTTCACCTCCTGGCACTCACCCTCACCCCGTGGTTCCTGGACACAATGGCCTCTTTTGGTTCCTCATTCTGGGCACGTTTTAATTTCTTTTTTATTTAATTAATTTTAACTTTTTTGGTGGTACTGGGGTTTGAACTCAGGGCCTTGTGCTTGAGCCACACCCATAGTCTTTTTTTTGCTTTATTTTTTGGATATGGTCTCACATTTTTGCCAGGGGACAGCCTTGGACCTCGATCTCCCTACCTGTGCCTCACACATAGCTAGGATCACAAACATGTACCATGCCCAATTTGTTGGTGAGATGGGGTCTCACTACCTTTTTCCCTAGGGCTGGCCTTGAACCTTAATCTTTCTGATTTCTACCTCCTGAATAGCTGAGACTATAGGCAGGCACCTCCATACTTGGCCCTGGGCACATTTACTTTCCTTGGCATCTTATCATTAGCTCTTAATCTCCTCAGGTCTGATTCTTGTTCTTCAGATATCAGCTCAAATCTTATCTCCTTTGAGCCTTCTTTGATCTCCCAATCTCCAAACACTAGGATTCATTACATTACCAACTTAATTCTCTACACAGCACTATCACTGTCTCATATTTTTGCTTGCTTATTTGTGTGTTAGTGGTGTTCCCCACTAGAAAGTAAGTTCTATGCGGGCAGGATCATTTTCTAATTTACCCAGTATCCGCAATATTAGAACAGTTGCCTGCACCTAGAGAGCACCAAATAAATAGATATAAATAAATGGAAAAAAACCCAATAAATCTTTAGGATATCATTTCTTTGTATGTTAGGAAGGATAGGAGGTGATATGGACAAACACCTATGCAAGGAAGGGATATGCTTCATTTTTAACATTTTTTAAATTTAGAAAAAAATTTTTGTTATAAATTATAGAAAAAAAGAGAAAAGCACTGGGGTTTGAACTCAGGGCCTCATACATGCAAGGCAGGTGCTCTACCATCTGAGCCACTCTGCCAGCCCCTAAAATTTTTTGATCTGCTTAAAAATTCACTCTCATAAGCCTTTTTATTCATGTTACTACAAAGTCTGAATGACCATTATTTTTAGTGATTGGGTGATATTCTAGGAATTACTGTGTTTTTAAAAAATTGTGGCAAGATACACAAAAAATAAAATTTACCATCTTCACTGTGATGAAGAGTTTAGTAGTATTGAGTAGATCCATATTGTTGTGTCATCATTACTACCTTCATCACAGAACTCATTTCCTCTTGCAGAACTGAAATCCTGTACCCATTAAACGCTAATTCCTTCTTCCCTTCCCCCAGCCTCTGGCAACCACTGTTCTACTTTCAGTTAGCCACACCACCTGCAGGGGACCTGACTGGAATCTGGCATGGTCCTTCTATGCTTCTCTAGCTGTTGTTGGAAGCAGACCAAGAACCAAGGGCATGTGGCATGCTCAACTATTTTTAAGACACATATGTCTTAATTCCAGATATTTTAATTTGCTGAGGCTGTTACAGCTTGTCTTCACCGAATAATAGGTATATGATGTTTTCCTCATCACCCTCCAGCAGCTGCAAGGAACCCTGAAGGAATTACTTTAGATGCCAGAGTGCAGGAGGGGCTGGGAAGAGGAGGAGGATAGGGGATAGGGGAGGTTTGGAGGTGGAAAAAGAGAGGGTAAGTTACTGGAGAAGTACAGTTTGGTAGCATTATATATACTTTTATTGTGAAACAGATTTTCAGAACCTTTTCATCTTGCAAAATTGAAACTATACCAACGAAACAGCAACTCCTTATTTCGTATTAACCTTAGCCCATTAACAACCATTCTTCTTCCCATTCTGTGAATTTGATTACCTCATGTGGCTGAGCATGGTGGTGCACAATAGTAATTGGAGCACTTGGGAGTCAGAGGTAGGAGGATCACAAGTTCAAGGCTAGCCTGGACTACATAGCAAGTTCAAGGCCAGCCTGAGCAACATGGTGACACCCTGTCTCAAAACAAACCCCATACCAAAACCAAAACATAACACAACAAAACAAACCTCATGTAAGTGCAGTCACACTGTCTTTTTATGACTAGCTTATTTCACTTAGCAGAATGTCCTCAAGGTTCATCTATGTTGTGATATATAACAGGATTTCCTTTCTTTTTAAAGCTGAATAATATTAAAATATATGTTGCTGAGGAAGCAAAATTTCTCCTCTACCTCTTGAGGTCTCCAGCTGGACCCAAGACTTAATCTTCCTCCACTGGAAAGATTAATAGGAGAAGAGAATAAAAATTTTATTTAGCAATTTTTAGAAGCAGCAGTAAATTGTGAAAATGTGATAAGATGTCTGGACCAGGGCATTTAATTGAGGTAAAGTGAGAAAGTAAGGGTTAGTGTGTTTTTTTTTTTTTTTTGAAAGTTTTTATTAGTCTGATAATTTTGCAAGGGGGGTCACTGTGACATTTCCATATATATATATTGTACCCCAGTTTGGTCCATCCCCTCTGTTATTCTCCCTCTTCTCCCACTCCCCTTCTCAAAATGACTTCAGCAGGTTTCATTGTTCCATATTCATACCTGTATTGAAAGTACTTCAACCATATTCACCCTCCTTTACCATCTTCAGTCTTCACTTACCCTCCCCCTCCTGCTAGTACCCTCCCCTTAACATGACCCGTTTTACATTCCTGTCTTCCATTGTTTTAGTGTGTGTTCATTGTTCAGTGGGGTTTTGTCTTGCTATTTTATGAGTAAATATATTGTGCGTAAGTCAATAAAATCCCCTCTGCTACTCCTCATCTTTTCCTCCGTACCTGGTATTTTTCAACAGTTGTCACTGCGTTTCATTGTGTCTTGTTCCTACCCAGATATGAGTTGTTTTTTTAAAGAATCATTACTCTAATGATTGTTTTGTTTTTGTTTTTGTTTTTTGTTAGGGTCTTATAATGCAGTCCTGGCTGGCCTTGAACTCTTATTTATTTATTTATTTATTTTTTGGGCAGTGTAGGGGTTTGAACTTAAGGGCCTCACACTTGCTAGGCAGGTGCTCTACCACTTGAGCCACTCCACCAGTCCTGATGAATTTCAATATTATTTCATTCTCTATCATTCTTTTCTTTTTTTCCTCCTCCCAGTAAGGGTTTAACAAGGTTTGTACAGATTTTTCCTGGCCTCCACTCCCCATCTCCAGGGACAGGAATGTCTTCCTTCCTTTCTTCTGGTATGGGGTCGGGGTAAGGAACTTTCACAGAAGTTTTATTTCTTGCTTTTGGAAAGAAAACTAACGTTCCTAGAGCTCTTCTTGCAGCTCTGTTTTTCTAGTGCTTTTAACTCAAAACATCAGCATGTTAAAGTGACATTTTTTGGGGTCTGGTGTGCTTGAACCTCTACAAAGCAAACATTTTGTTTATCCAGCCAACCACGATGGACACTTGAATTGTTTCTATCTTTTGACTATTGTGAATAAAGTTACTATGAACATAGGTGAAATAAATGTCTCTTCTGGTTCCTGCTTTCAGGAACCATTGCCTTTTAAGACAATATTAGCTTTGCTCATCCATACTGAAAATATTAGGCAGTCGTCAAACGTGTGAAAGAAAGGACCATATAATAAACTCTCTTAAAAAACAAGGACATATTTTTTTCCTTATAGTTTTTCAGTGTTCCATCATTTAATATTTTATTTTTAGTATAATTAAAAGGACAAAAATGATTGTGCAAGAAGGACAGTCATCCTGTTTACTAGAGTATAATTGTGATGAATTTGAAAACATTAAATGGAAATTTTAATACATGTAAGATATGAAGATACCTATTTTTGGCATTTTTTTTTTTAGCATATGTTGGTTATTCAGGGGGCTTTTATTGTCACGCTTCCATATATGTATACGATGTATCTTGGTTAGAGTCATCCTCTCCATCATTGTCCCTCACCACCTCACCCTTACTTAAAAATAATTCCAGTAACTTTCATTGCTCTGTTTTCATACATCGACCTTTTCCCTCACCTTCACCCTTCTTCCTCCTTCTAGCATCCAGCCCCCAACAGGACCTGTTTTCCACTCCAGTCTTTTATTTTTCAATTGTATATTCCTTGTTCAAAGGGGGTTCACCATGATATTTCACCCATGAATATATCATACTTTAATCGTATCAACCACCTCTATTACTCTCCCTTACCCCAAGGCCCTATTAATCAACACCCTTCAGTTGAAGATTACTATTTCTAAAAGCCTGGGAACCTCTTCTAATTTGGAAAGTGCCTGGTTTGCTTATTGTATCTTCTCATGGTGTTCTCCTAGCTTTAGGTTAAGATCACAATTATCTTAGGAGTCACCACTGTAGGGTTTTCTCTTCAGCCCTCTGGAATGTGAACTTTTTGACAGAGGCTAAGGGTCAGAAGAATGTAAGTTGCTTTTCCCTAGTGTACTCCAAAGTATGATCTTTTTAAGTTCTCTGACAAATCAGGTGGTGTTGGGACCTGTGTCATTTTCTTATCTCTGCATTTGAAGTGCAACCTTATCCCTGTCTCTCACTTAGCCCCATGCATTCCTTTCTGATGGACGCTTTCCTAGTCTTTCCTCCTGCTTGCAGGTATAGTCACTGGTTTGATGGGATGGCGTTGCTTCACCAGTTCAGGATGGAGAAGGGCACAGTGACATACAAGAGCAAGTTTTTACAGAGTGATACATATAAAGACAACAGTGCTGCCAATCGGATTGTGATCTCAGAATTTGGCACCCTGGCTCTTCCTGATCCATGCAAGAATATTTTTGAACGTTTCAGGTCAAAGTTTGAGCTGCCTGGTAAGCAGCCTTTACATTTACAGAATTTACTGGTAATGGTGACAATTACTTAAATGTTTCTGATATATGACAATTTACCCAAATATGAATCTTGGAAAAAACTATTTTGTGGAGTGTGTGCGAGAATGTTGAAACTGCTTTCTCTGTCTGAGTGTGTGCTTAAGGAAGATTTGGTATTGATGTAATTCTGATGGTTGGTTTCAGTCATGACTGACAACACCAATGTCAACTATGTGCAGTACAAGGGCGATTACTACATTAGCACTGAGACCAATTTTATGAACAAGGTGGACATTGAAACTCTGGAAAAAACAGAAAAGGTAATGTATACATTGGAAAATGAATAAAATAGAACCTAAAATTTCTTTCTATTTAAAATTTTTTTTAGTGTATAGCTATCTTAAACAAGCAAAAATGTCAATTTTTTTTTTTTTTTTTTTTTACAAAATCAGAGAATAGGAGAGGGCAGACCAGGTCCCCTTGTGGGGATGGTATCAGTGGAAGAGGGTGTAGGGGGAGTGAATATGGTGCACATGTATACCATATTCTGTGTACACATGTATGTAAGTAGAAAAATGAGACCTGTTGAAACTATTCCAGGAATGAGGGGGGGAGAAAGGGGAATGATGGAAGGGTGAATTCAACTATATTTGATTTATTGTAAGAACTTTTATAAATGCCAATTGTACCCCCAGCACAACAATAAAAAAATACTTTTTTAGAACAGCAGATATGTGAAGAAGAAATTAGAGCCTAAAATCACCCATGACCAACTATGTTTGCCCTCTGTCCTGATTAAAGTGGACTGTGGGGTTGGTTTTCCTTAAAGACAACCCTAAGTTTTCCTCAGTCCTGCTCCTTAGGGCCAGGTAAAGGGAAATGGAACAGAACTGCTCGTGTTCTTCCTGGCTATAGCACCTACTGCACTGAGGTCGTCTACACCATATTTATTGCCTTGATCCGTTAAAAATACGATTTTAGACCAAAGTTAAAATTTTAGTTATTACCCTTCTTTTGAACTTTCCTGTGGTCTTGGACAAATCTACTCAGGTTTGTTGTTGGTGGTTGTGGTGATAGGTTTTGTTTTGATTGTTTGTTTTTGTTTCTCAGTCTCAGTTTCTTTTTCTTCAATGGGAAAAAATAAATTTGATTTCTCACAGATAAATTAGGGCTTGGGGCTGATAGAGTGTCTCAAGTGGTAGAGTACCTGCCTTTCAAGCCTGAGGCCCAGAGTTCAAACCCAGTACCACCACCAAAACAAAAACAAAAACAAAAAACACTCAACACAAAAAAGGACTGATGGAGTGGCTCAAGTGGTTGAGGCCCAGAGTTCAAACCCTGGTACCAGCAAAAACACAAAACAAAAAACTAGGGCTTATATTGTATTTTTCATATCTGTTTTTTTTAACATAGTTGACATGTGCCTACTATTTATGCATGTAGACAGAGATCTATGCACATACCATTTGAAAGTCTCTAATGGTCTTAAACCTGCAGGTGGACTGGAGCAAATTCATCGCTGTGAACGGGGCAACAGCACATCCTCACCTTGACCCAGATGGAGCGACGTACAACATGGGGAACTCCTATGGGCCAAGAGGTGAAAGTGGAATGGAGTTTCTGTATATCTATCTATCTATCTATAAATATAGATAAATTATACATATTTTATATGTATTATAATTATATATTATATATTTTTAAAGAGATAGTTAGGAGTCAGTTGTTCTCTTGGGTTCAATTATGGTTAAGATGTGAACATAAAATTTCATTTGAAAGGCTCAGGAGGAAATATCCAAAGTGGCATTATTGAGCTTAAATTACATGATTTATGATGAAGCATCTGCTCTATAGTTCTTTTGCACCTGTGCTTAGCAGCTGATTTTTTTCCATTTGTCCTTTTCAGTATAATTGCGTGCATGTTGGAGATTGAACTCAGGGCCTCACTTTGGCTAAGCTAGCACTCCACCACTTGCATAAACTCATATTTTTGGTTCTGTGGAGCTCTTGGCTTATAAGCATTGTAGGAATTCTCAGTCCTTATCTCTTGAACTTGAATTTTTAAGAATTACCACATTTCAAGTATAAGAAATTTAGAACTCTGCAGCAAAGAGGTAAGGGAAGGTCTGTTACCTAGGGAACAATACATTACAAAGTAAGTTAAGGCCATGATGGGGTTACATTAGCACCACACCTCCTTCCTGGTCCTCCACACGCTGTCACAACTGCCTACCAGTCTGCTCCAGAAAGTTCTAGGAGCTAACTGTGATAGGTGGCATTTACTGAGTGTGAAGCATCTTCCCCTGTATTTTCTCTTTCAATCCTTATGCTAACTCTTTGAGAAAGGTGCTATTATCACCCCCATTTTACAGATGAGCAAAGTTTGAGGTTTAAGTCACTTGCTTAGGCCAACTTCCATGTCTCAGAAACAGACCTGAAGCCAAGCCTGGCTTACCCACAGTCTTTCTGTGAGTCACTGTTAGACCATCTTATCAATGATGTGGAAGACTGCTTTGATACACTTTAATGCCCAGTCTCTACCCTGTCACCATTTCTCCCTGCATTTGTTAAGGGCCTTTTTTCCTATCTACCCACTCAGCCTGCAAATTCATGTTCCTATACGAGTACACGTGTCTCTGAAAAGAAGTGTGTTAGTGTCACCAATAGGTATTTCCCACTGTCTTGTTATCTTAGCTATCAGCCTATAAAACTGTATAGGTCCATGGCATATCCTGGTGAGTAACTGGCTTTGTAGGTCGCTTCTCTGCACCTCTCCATGTTTACATGGTTGAATGTAAGTGAAGGTGAATACTGCAGTTTTGTTATTTACAGATTGTGTGCCCTGGGTATTCATCACCTAATTTCCTTTCCTCTTTAACCTCAGGTAGAAGTAGAGTCTTCAAAACTGTTATAGGGAATAGAAAACATCCTTCTAGGTCAATGTTTCAGAACATGAAACCTTGATCATTAAAAAATCCACTTTTTTTTTGCAGTAGTGGAGTTTGAACTCAGGGCCTCACATTTACTAGGCAGGTGCTGTACCACCTGAGCCATGCTCCCCAGTCCTTTTCTGTTTTAGTTATTTTTGGATAGGTTCTCCTGTTTTTGCCATCCTTGGACCATGATCCTCCTTCCTACACCTCCAATGTAACTGGGATTACAGATTGGAACTACCACGCTTAGCTTGTTGGTTGAGATGGAACCTCACTAACTTTTTCCGCTGGAGTGGCTTTGAATGGTGATCCTCCCAATCTCTACCTCTTGAGTAGCTGGAATTTCAGCCATCCACATCCAGCTGAAAAATCCACTTCTTAATTAACTGTTAACCAAGTAGATCACTTTGTAGATCACTCATAATATGAGAAATGCTACTGAGCCATACATAGAATACATAGAGTACTATGTATTCTAAAATAAATAGTCACTAGATCAATGTTCCACAGCCTTTAATATGTTTAACAATCACTGGAATGCTTGGTAGATCAGTTCTTTCATCTCCAGGGATTGGAGTTCAGTTGAACTGTAAAAGTGCCAAGAATCTGCATTTCTAACAAGGTCCTCAGGTAGTTCCAATGCAAGTGGCTCCTGGAGCTCCCTGAGAAACCCAGCCCCCAGGCATAAGGCTCTGCTTGCCACTCTGCCTGAGTTTGCTGTTTGCAGGCTGAGCAGAATTAGACTGCCAGTGCCAGGCAGGGCAGCTGTCCCTGGGCGTTCCTCTGGGTGTTTCTGGGTGTCTGCCTTGCCTCATGCTGTCAAGACTTGCAGTTAGAACAGTTCTTTGACTAATGTGTTTAAATTCAGTGAATTGAGTAATGGTCACTTATTCCAATTGCCAAGATAGGAAATCCTTCTTTACCTTCTAATCCCAACTCACAGTGAATCTACTTTTCTCTCCTGATGACTTGTTTCATTGAGAAGTTTTCCAACTGGACCTTAATGCATATTTATTTGCTGGGAACTCGATTACCTAGGATACGTTTGGGGAAAATTTAGTGGTTCTTATTGTAATGAAATAAAATGCTTGCTATTCATTTCTACTTTCAGGAACAAAAAAGTTTTAAATTGTTTTGGCTTTTCCAGGTATTTTTAAAAAACATTTAAAAAATTAACAAAAATCCTTTAAGCATGAATCAATCCAGTTAGTTTTTAATACTTATTTAAAACATATTTTTCACACTAATTAGTTAGACAATCAGTTTGTCTCATTTCTTTCACCACTGGGCAAAGCATGATGTCTTATACATACATAATGGCCTCTCAAAATATGTCCATATCTCCTACCTGGACCTCCCTCCACCGCCCCAGTATCTTTTATATCTAGTTGCTTACTCAGTGTTTTTACTAGGATGTCAAAAAGACATTCCAAAATTAACTTGACCAAAATCAAACTCCTGATCTTTCCCCCTGGACTTTCTCAAGATGAATATTGCCTATGTTGGTTGCTTTGTTGGGGTCCGAGGTTGACCACCCCTCAGAGGAACAAAAGACACTCATGATAATGTAAGCCACAAAGCGAGGTTTATTTCCAGCCAGCTGGGGTCCGCGTATCCGCCCGACGCAGCGGGTTTCAACGAGGACCCCGAATGCAAAGTTCAGGCTGCTTTTATATTTTTTAAACATTAGTCATGGTCACACAGCAATTTTTATGGCCCCTGGGGTCACATATTTCTGATATCACCTACATCCTGGTGGTGGGGCAAGATTACTTGAAGATTACTTATCAGGAACTTGATAAACACCAGGTGTTTTAACTCGTTGACTCACATACCGTTTAGCAAGATTAACCAGAAACAGTCCCTGTTCCCAGAAACCGTCCCACCTCCCTTAGTTCCAGTAAGCGGTGGCTTGGGTCATGTTAGCCATGGCCGGTTTCAGGCTGAGTGGGCTGCAAGCCTCAAAGGTACCCTAACATTCCCCCCTTTAGTTGTTCATAATGAGGAATCATGCTCTTCTAGGTGACGAGTGTAAACATTCTCAGGGTTAGGTAACTTTTCATATTGCTGTCTCAGGACCATTAGTTGGACTGTACTAATTTGATCTTTCACGAAGGTCACTAGCTTATTCAGAATACAAGGACCAAAGGTTAAGATAAGCAGTAGTATGACCAGAGGGCCCACCAGGGTAGAGACCAAGGTAGTGAACCAGGGGGGACCTATTGAACCAAGCTTCGAACAAATTTTCTTGGGCTTCCCTTTCCCGTTTCCTTTTTGCCAGTCCTTCCCTCACTTTAGCCATAGAATCCCTAACTACCCCTGAATGGTTAGCATAAAAACAACATTCCTCCCCTAGGGCTGCACATAGTCCCCCCTGCTGGAGGAACAATAAGTCTAGGCCCTCTTCTTACCTCTCTGAGGTTCTGAAGCACTACCTCAGAGAGGTAAGGGATTTTTCCAGGTGACTAATGGAGGCTTCTATCCTCTCTATATCCTCGTCTATGGCCGTGCGCAGCGAGGACATCCCTTTATGTTGAGTAGCCAGGGAGGCTATGCCAGTTCCTGCCCCAGCCACTCCTAGGCTAAGTAGAGTAGCAATGGTTAATGCAGATATAGGCTCTCTCTTTTTTCTCTCACCTGTTCCTGTATCCCAGTATGAATATAAGCTCTCCTCAGAATGATAGATGATGCAGGGCGGCACAGTCACTAGGACACAGAATTCTTTAGAGCTGTTAAAGACATTAGTTGATAGGCAAGGGGTGAGCCCAGACTGCGAGCATACCCATCATCCATTGCCTTTTGGAATTGCCCACTTAATACCATCGCCCCAGGTGGGATTGTTATCTATAGTAGTGCATAGGTCCTGTTTTTCTGCCAGCACCTTCCCTAAGCAGGTTCCTTGGCTGCTCACTTGTTGTATGGTCAGACCTCTCTTACGGTCTCCCCAGGAACATTGAGTGGGGTTTTCACTAGTCGAGACATTGTAGGTGACATTTAGCCCTATTGCCTCATAGAATGGGGGCCTCACATCATAGCACAGCCAGCAGGAGGTAGTCATATTAGGGTTGGTGTGGTTCAATGTTAGGAATTCAGCATTTACCAAATTCCAGAGGGGGTCTGTGGACCCGGTCATGAGACTGGGCTTCACCAAGGGAGGGCCTGTGCCTAATGGTCCTGGAGTTTTAATACTAGCCTTTGTGTGAGGCCAGGTAGGGACCGGGGTTGTGCGAGGTCGGAGAGGTGGCTCTACATAGAGTGGCTTGAGTACTTTGTTGGGACCTACCATTTTGGATGGTGGCCCAACTTTTAATCTGATTACTACGGTTGAGCCAGAATGTCCACCATATTTATAAAACACAAGTCCCCACACCTTGCCTTGTATCCACCTGGTGGTGTCCTCTTTGCCACTGTCAGTGAAAGTGACCTTGATTCTATCTGTATCTGTGGGTAATGGAATTCTGTGTCCCCAGGGTACCCCATTTACAAAGGCAAATTTGACTAGGTCCAGTTTTGATATCCCCCACTTCCATTCACCATCATTGGATGTGACACATGCCCATGACTTACAGAAGGAGTATTGTATCCCCCTCACAGTCCTTGTTCTTTTTGTGGCCGGGACAAGCATAAAAACCATAACATCGGGCTGACTCTGGGGCAGTAGACTTGT